TAAAATTGAGGACCACAATATTATAGCAATTTTTTACAAAGTATTTTTTCCGTGTAATTTTTGTAAATATGTAAGTTATTAAATAAAAATTATAAAAAGAAAAAATCAAAAAGTCGGTAGTACATCTTAATACAAATTTAACTAGCGCAACTTAATATTAAGAAAGTTCTAAAATGTCTATGGCTCAACATTAACTTTTTAGAAGTTTCTCCTTAAAAAATATGTAGTTTTAAAGCCTTTGGAAACTAATGATTTTTGCGAAAAATTATATCATAAATGTTGCTCAGAATATAATACAGGTAGTACTAGTATTTCACGTAGATCATTTTTCACCTTAAATATTTCGAGGTATCGGACGAAGAGTTTTAAATGAAATTTCCGGTATGCAGACTGTCTAAAACTTGATATGTGTACGTGTAACAAGAAACTTATTTATTGATGTAGATTTGATAAATGATATATTATTTTCTCATTTTAATAAAATTTTAGCTTTGTTTGTACTTTCTCAAACATCCCGTATTACATCCATTACACTCAGCTATTCTGAAGAAATGTGATCCAAATTTTACAGCCATTAGCATCAACCAGTTACACGGAACAAAATGGATAGTATTCTAAAATTCGAAAAAATCTGTTTTAAAAAACTCAACAGATTTATTCAGCAACCTTTTTTCAGTACGTGGGTTAGCAAATTGTAGATACACTATACTATACAGAGTGTTCCGAAATTCATGCAACAAAATTTGGTCATAGATTCTTAAGACAAATTTAGGGGACCCGTATTTTTTTCTTTTTGCCAACTGGCCCCCTCTTTCGGAGTTACACCCCCTGAAATCTGCCCCTAAGAGGTCTTTTTTATATCTCAAAACCATGTTGTACGAGAATCACTAAATTTGGTACACAGGAGTTTTATGACATGTGGAACCTCACAGTGCTACGCTTTTTGGGGAGAAACCCCCTTAAGACACTTTTTCGTGGGCCCCGTTGTCTATGGAACCAGAAAAATTTTGTCGCAAATTTGATTTTTTTTTTAAATTATTAGTTAGTTAGAAAGCCATTGAATTTAGAATCATTTTTGTCTTTTGATATTTGTTTCGTAACACGCAATGTTTTTGAGGAAAATGGCGAATGGCGATATGCATTCAATTACATTTTAACATTTTTCTGGAAAACATTGCGTTTTACGAAAAAAGTATAAAGAGACCAAAAAGTTTCTAAATTTAATGGCTTCCTAGTGGACAGACAATTTTTAAGAAATTTAAATATGCGACCAAATTTTTTTGGCTCCAAAGACGGGGGCTCACGAGAAAATGTCTTAATGGGGGTTTCCCGCCAAAAAACGTAGCACCATCAGATTCCACATGTTATAAAACCCCTGTGTACCAAATTTAGTGGTTCTCGTACGACAGGATTCTGAGATATAAAAAAAATATTCTTAGGGGCGGACTTCAGGGGGCTGTAACTCCGAAAGAGGGGGCCACTTGGCAAAAATAAAAATACGGTTCCCCTAAATTTGTCTTAAGAATCTGTGACCAAATTTTGTTGCATGAATTTCGGGCACCCTGTATTTCCAGGCAAAGTGCGAACTGTCACTATTATATGGACGGTTCCTCAGAGCACCTACCGAACAAAAGTTTTCTCATATTGCTGTTTCACGCGATACCTAAATTTAGATTAGGCAGTTCCTTTTGATAAACAGACATTTAGTACAATTCCATTTGGGCCTTATAATTCAGTGAAATAATAAAGTGACTGTAACATAAAAGACCCGAGGTATATATTTAACTTTGTATCATCCAACACACAGATCAAATAAAGCCGTAGGGCGAAGCAGATGATTCACCACCTACGCACAGAGTAAATTCTATACAGTACCGGGTAGGATATTTTTTATGAATATTTAATGTGAAAAAAAAAAAATGTCTCGTCTTCCTGCTCACAACCTCTACAGAGAGGTGTTTCGCACTTTCTCATATTGTAGAGGTGTTTCCTTAGCCAGCAGTGTCCGGTCCCGCCACCAGGTGAAAGCTTACCCTGGACATAGCCAGGTATTTTTTGGCTGTGTCTTTTTTACATCTTAAGGATTTGCGTTACACCAATATGTTATGAGAATTCAGTGTACCGCCTCTCGTAAAACAGCATTCGTCTGTAAAGGGTACTGCGTTTGCATAATTTGGTTGTGCCACTTGCTATCGAAACCACTGATAAAATTTTACATTCGGCTTAAAATCACTTGCACTCAAAACCCAAAGCCTGCACACGTTGCACATGATAAGGGTGCAGTAACTGCTCTCGTACCATGTGCCTGAGAGTGATACTTGAAACAAACATTTCGTGTGCAATATCGCGGCTCAGGTATACGTAAAATGTCGTCTTCCCTATTTAAGATACGTTGCGGTCTTTCTTGTCCACGATCTTCATAGATTTTGTTCAATCTACCGGTGTTGTGTTATCATTGGGTATAACAATTCATATACAAACGACAATCCACCAATCAGTAACCGCTCATTCTTGATTAGAATAAGCCATTTTGAAATAAAATAAAGTAAATCAATCCACAGCCTACGACAGCAAGCAAGACATGCTGCGTTTACGCCATGCAAGTAACCACACTGAACTTGACCTGGTTTTTACACTGTAAACTCATAATTCTTGATTAATTTTCGGGGATACATGACACTTTAGAGGTCCATTAATTGGAAAACTGTATATTTTCACGGCTTCTATTTAGAGACCGACCGGTTAATCGGCTTCGGCATCGGCTTCGGCCACATTCGGTTATTATTTAAACCTTCGGCTAAGAATCGGCTTCGGCCAAAATTAAGCCGAACTTTTCGCCGAAGCCGAAGGTACCGTTCGGGACGACGCTGACTTAACAAATCTAATCAAATTCGGGTTAAATTAGCCCCTTAACACTACAAGTAACACTGCCAAATTACAACAAAATTGGGTAAAGGGTGTTCAAATTATTTACGAAATAGCATTTTTTTTATAAACGATTAACATTAATCTTGAAAACGAGGCATCTGCGGATCAATGTTTATATGAACTTTTTGTATTAAAATCACTTAAATAATCTACTGTTGAATTTATCGTACATACTTAATTAACACCCTATATATATTATATTTCCAAAACATTATGCATTTACTTTTGACCTACTTTTATGTTATCATATTTTTGTTATTAATTAAAATTTTCAAGTTAATAAAAATATCTCCGGCTTCGGCCAAAAAAATCACATTCAGTCGGTCTCTACTTCTATTACTTCATTGAAGGAACGTACTTATTTGAGAGACACCCTGTAATAAATAAGACATAAAATATGTCCTCTATAATAAACAAACAATATTATTATCGACGTTAGTAGTAGTACGTTACATTTTTATGTTTTGTTTATTGATTTTTATATATAATAACTCGTGTTGCTACAGTGTATACGATTGTTTCACAAGTGTTTACACACGTGAAAATAAAAATAAGAAGCAGCAGTTTAAAATTCAATAAAATTGCGTAGTCCATATTGGAACTGTAGTAATAACAAACAGTAACAGTCCTAATTTAATAAACAACATATTCATGGTATAGAAAAATTTATATTGGAGCTCAGTTTTATTAATTTCATTCGAAATTTGAAATCCTGTACATAAAACTTCAGTTAATGATAAAATTGTGTTGGTATAATAAATATGTTCTGTTACATAAAAATGTACTTGACATCTTTTGTATGTATTTGTATGTATGTATGTACTTCTATATATAACATGCTAAAGGTCTAACCACAAATTTCCTGTAAATCAAAATAACGAATTTGTGGTTAGATATATGATAAACTATTTCGCCATGTAAATATCCGGCTGCTTGAAAACATTGTATATAATTTTTTGTATATTTCCCGTGAAAATGAAAACTCTACGAGGTTGCAGTGATAAATATTTTTGTTATTTCTTTCATTTTCCTGAAAATGAATTTCAATGATAAAGTTAGATCCTGTTCTTAATGTGAAAGAAGATTTTAGTTACATTTATTTATTTATTAATTTTTGTCTCAATAACATATTCAGTGGCGAATTTCTGGCTGAAATTTTATAAAGCATTACGTAGAAATAATCAAAATTAAAATTACTCTCGATACGTAAGGATAACGTCAAAGCCAGTGGAAACTGGAGTACTTTCTGCTAAATACATTTTGTGTTTTTGTATTTTTTGTTTACAAAAAAACATGATACGGTGCTAAAAATTTGCAAAATAACCTAGCTCGTAATTTAAATAGTAAAATTATGCGTTTTTAATTAAATTATACCTAAATACCTCACTTATATTTTTAACATTCAAGTCATTGCGTCCTAATGATCAAAATAAATCACCGAACCACTTATTTCTTATGGATTTTTCTGATTTGAAGCAACTTTGTGTGAACCACACAAATCTAAGATGGAGAAGTGAACGTGGTTTTATTTTAAAACCAGCAAGGTAAATATCATGGTAATTTTTGAAAATTTTCCATATTCTATATTCAGACGCCATTATCTCGAAAACGGTTAAAGATAGGTATAGGTTATGTTACATAAAAATTTATCAGAATTCCATGAAGAATTAAATAAAAATACAAAAAAGTGGGGTTTCCATTTAAAAAAGTTGGCCTTGATTTCATAACTTTTTTTGGGCCACCCTGTATAAATGCTGCAGAAAATGAGCAGCTAAAAATATAATTCGACGGATCCGAGCGATTTTTCAAATAACGAACATTTTAAATAAAAATATTCCATACTTTGCCGCTCACTGTATATAAAACGCTGTTCGAGACAGAATAAACATTCATTAATTTTGTTCCGTATTCAATATTACACATCGCTATATCCGTAGGTATTCGCTTTGCTACCAGAAGCAGTGAACTTTGCTATTTGCTTGACATTTACAGTCCACTTTAGGGCGTCCGTCACAATCCATTGTTTCCTAGGGTGGTTGTTCTCTTAACCAAATTTTCTTTGTTGGTTTCAGGTACCCTGATATGCGGACGGTGACAAACTGCTTCGTTTTGAATTTGGCAGCTGCGGATTTGTTGTTTGCGCTGACCATACCGGCCGTAGCCTACACGAGGATAGTTGTGTCCTGGCAGCTGGGGGACGTAACCTGCAGGATAATTCCTTACATTCAAGTGAGTCAAGTTATAATGCGATGTCAGTTTATAAGTAGTTAGGAAAATGGCTTTTATAAATTTAACCCTCAAAGGTCAGACTTGGGGTGGGCCACCTTAAAGGTCACACTAGTGCCAATTGGGATTTTGCCAGCTTTGAACCTTATATCTTCTTTATTGTTAACGAAGTCATAACGTGTAATTAGTTTTGAAAAAAAAAATAATTTGTTAATGAAAAATGCGATTGAAAAAAGTCTATATTTAAGAAAAAATACCCCATTTTGTAAAATGATATTATCGATTTTTCCCGGTATCTCGAAGCATTTGTTGAAGTTGTGATTTGTGACTCCTTTTCTGTAAATTGATTTATTTTGAATTCTTTTGTATAAAAATATTAATTTGAACAATATTATCCATAAATATTGACAAATACATGTTGCAATTAAACTATTAATTAAAAAAAAGATGTTTGAAAAAATTATTAACAATCACTAAATAAACAATGTTCTAGTCTATTCGACACGTAAAATGAGATGAAAAAAATCGGAAGTTTACATTGCAATTCACTTTATTTCTAGATTAGGTATATGATATAAATTCAGCCAGACTTTTGCCCACACTAAAGTCATACTAGTGTGAATTTGCACCGTTCGGACTTTTCAGACTCTAGTTTGGCCGACAATAACAGAATGAGACCAGCTGTGGTACGGCTCAACTGTTTAGGCGATAGAAGGAATTATCGTGGTAGAGGAACCCTCGGCAGCTGCTACCTGAGAAATGCCAGCTGTTCAAAAAAAAAAACGGAGGTACGAATTCGGACTAGTGTGCCTTTTGAGGGTTAATAGTCGATTTTTTGGATAATTTTGACCAAGAAATGTCAATATATTGAAAACTTTATATATATAAAGAATATTTTCGAGAAAAACAGGTCAAAATACTCTAAACCTTTATTAAAATTGGCAACACCGCAACAGCTTGGATTGTCGCGTTCCAATGGAATTCTGTAAACGCAAAATTTTTATTGTCCTTGGCTTCTTAGATACTATTTATTTCTCAAATAAAAAACATGGCATTAAATAGCCAACGCACTGAAGCAAGTTTGGTTTATCGAAAATAAAAAAGGCTTACTCACTGTGGTATTGTCAAAAATAATTAGCACTAATTAACACATAAACACTTTCTCTACAATTCTCGTCACATCTATAAATTTGTAATTGTTTTCTTTATTATGATATTAAATGTTCAAAATGACCATCGTTTGTGTCTAAACAAGCCTGACATATTTTTTAAACTAGTGAAACTACTAGTTTGCGAACAAATGCTTCGAACAGCATATAATTACTCAGGACTTTTAGTTAGGCATACTATTTCATAAAAAATAATCCTTGACTGATTTTTTGGCACAAGGGTCTGTTTAATTAATTTTTTAAATTTTGATTCACAATATACCTACCCCATAATAACAGAAAAACACAAACCTATACCGCAAATAAGTAACAGATAATATTCCAAATTACATTTCCTGTGAAATAGATTTTATCTGCTGCTGAAGTATTGAAAATAAATTTGCATTTCTGTGGTCTTAGAGAAATCACATACAAAAATGTCATGTAGGTGGAAAGTCATTGAGTAGGAGTAGGTACTTATACTCATTGTACATAAGTACTATTTTTTCAGGGTTAAGTTAAAGGTTAAAAATTATTGTCATCAAAATTCACAAAATTGTTCCTAAACTGTGGACAAGCACAACTTGTGTGACAATTGGATGGCATATACATTGTGATTATTATTTTTAGAACTAATAATATATTTTCGCACATGGTCAAACAGTAATGTACGAAACATTGAACAATTTGTGCCTGTACTTGTACAATCGTGCGAATTTCCATGACGATGTTTTCTGCGAGTAAAATATGTTTAAAAAAAGTATAAAATTTGTTCTGCCGCTTCCGGACTGACTTCTTGCTACCGCCCACGTTATTGAAATCCAGGAAGTACATTTTCCGTATCCACAAGTCTAGGGTAACGTTCGCCATCGATACGTTTAGCTTATTCCGATGAGCTTCAAAAATAATTAGCAATACGTGATATCCACGTACAGAATACAATTTCTGAAAATTTATTACTAAAATTAAAAATACTTTGCTGTATGGACCGAATGATAAAAAGTGAAAGAACGCAAATTATGTTTTATAAATATGATTTTCAGGTGTGCCACTTTGTCGTTTGTTATTTCATGTCTTAATTTTAATTGAAATATTTAATTAATTTGTAGTTAAATAAAATATATACTTGGAATAAACATGATTTTCTGTTTTTGCTTAGAATTTTAATTACATTATTTTTCTCGAAAATGGCCATACAGTCAAAACAATGCAAATAATCGATTATTATTAAATAAATGAAATTATTTCCCTAATATACCTGTATACTGTATAGTTCATAAAGTAAATGTGCCTTATGAATAAAACATAAACATGTGCATTGATAAACTACACATTTACGGAATCAAGGGACTTGCGTGAAAGTTTGATGTAACAAAACGATTTATGATGTAATGCATACGAGGTGAGTGGGGAGAGCCAAATTGAAAAACTTGATCCTTTTTGCATTTGCCTCCTTATTCTGTAATGGATAAATTTCGTGACTTGACTTGTAAATAACCACTGTTTTCGTGCCTCACATTATGCCATTATGAACGACAAGTTTGTTTTTGCAGCTTATTTAGATATTTAGTATCAAAAAGTATTATACAAGATGTTTTACTAAGAATTTCACATATGATTACTGACGTAAAAATTCAGTTTATGGGATGTCAAAGTTCTTTAGAATTTTGGGAAATTTTTGAAAATTATTTTGCAAATCAAGTGGAAAATTTCCACTGTCATATTTATTAAGGACATCTAATATCTAAATAACATTTTGTGGTCATTGTTAGAGGGTTACACTTATAGAGTACAAGCCGTTCGGAAATTTTCAAGGGGTTATTTGACCCAGCGTGAATTACTTATAAATCAGTACAACCACATATAACAATAACTTTAGAAACTATGCCGTCAATTCTTGTTGGTACAGGTGAGTCACCTACACAGGGTAAGCTAAACCTGTGTTTTCGGCAAAACATTTTTGTACGGTATTTCTAAAGTGTATAAGTTATACAAAAAAAATGAACCTCGACCTAATGCCGTACAAAAATAGCAATACCGGGAGGCAGGAAAATTTTTTATTTTCCGAAAATTTTGGCCCCGGTTTTGGAGATTTATGTTAGGTAAAATTTTTTCAAAATTATTATTAAAAAATCAATAAAAAAATCTGCATTCGAATATTTTTTAAAAAATTTGGAATTATTTTTATTTTAAAATTAAAATTACTGCTTCGAGATTCTAGCTGGCCATCGAAACATCTTCTTTCTTTGTCTCTTTTTTCTTTTCGGCTTGTAAATTTTTATGTGGTTTTATTCATGTTTATAACTGACAATCTTAAAGTTGTTTTTGTAACAAATGTACTTTTAAATTATTTTTACTAATTTTAAACATATTGTATGCCAATGGCTTCATCACAATTTTTGCATAAATAAATTGTTCAAACAATTGTAACAGAAGTTGGAAATATGAAAATGTAGGGTTACCAATTTTTTTCAAAACCGATTTATCTCGCAAACCGTTCATTTTTTCGAAATAAATAAAGAGTACCATTTTTAAAGAAAAACCTTCAGAGTATCTAATAATAATATTTTCAGTTTGATAAAATTACTTCTGTCAAAATTTTGAGAAAAATTGTGATAGGGCCAGTCCGTTTCTGGACACCTGATAATAGCAAAAAGTTGATTTTAGCATCAAATCGTAGAGCTCCATGTGTAATACAACGTACGAAAATTTTATTAAAATATACCGGGTGGTTTCAAAGTTATAACCCTAAACGTTAATTTCTAAAAAAATTATAGGAAGGACTAGTTTTATTTTGACCTCCCCTATACACTCCCGAGAGATTAGGAGGTACTTACCGGACACCCTGTATACTTCAGAAATGCCGTAGAAAAATATTTTGCCAAAAACCACCCACCCTTGGTGGACAGGTTTAGCTTACCTGTGTACTCACATGTACCAACAAGAATTGACGGCATAGTTTCTAAACTTATTGTCATATGTGGTAGTATTAAATTATAAGTAATTCATGCTGGGTCAAATGACCCCTTGAAAATTTACGATTTCCTATTACATCTTGTTGTTGAAGCAAATATGATTTAAACTGTTTTGTTCTTCACACATCGAAAATTAGTACCAAAGAAATAGTAATGTTTAGATTTATATAACACATAGATCAAGTGAAAAATTAGATTAAAAAAAATATTAAAACAAAATAAAACATGTAGTCGACATTGAAGAACGACGGAATGTTTGCAAGAATTTTATGCAACTAGTTACAGAGATCAGCAACAAGAATAAAATCAATATAAGTTCTGGCCAAGGGGTTCCGCCCTAGAGAGCCTAGACCGAGAACAACCTCAAGCAGGTCAAGTTCCTAGCTAAGGCTAATGAAGTGCGTTAAAAACAACAACTATTGTATAATATCCCTTTTCGAAGACCTTTAATTCTTAATATAATATATTTTTTTTTTACTTAAATTCTGTTAAGTTAGTTACTTAGGGTGGGAAAAAATTGTATGATAGTGAAACATTCGCATACTTTGCTTATTTCTATAATTCATAAACAGCTCGTTAACATTATTTAGATATACATATACCGCATAGAAACGTACATTTTCAAGAAGTTTGTTAAACAAAACTTGAATATTATGTGATAATAATTTTAGCAGTTATTTTTGTTCCGTTCCAGTCATACATAATTTGGACATGCTTCATATTTCGACAAATTGTATGAGGGGATGAAAGCTAATTTTGACAAAAATTTATATGCTAGTTTAAAGAAAAAAATCCAATCATTTCTGAGATGAAAGTGATATTTCATGTCGTTTTATTCTGAATAGGGGCATTAACATGAAGTTTGTTTCGAACGATTTTCTTTCATTTTTGATATATTCTAACACTAAGAATGGTGTCTGTTCAGAAATTAACAAAACTTTATTTTTTAAACTTTATTATTAGTTTTAGACATTATTGGACCTTGTCTCCTTCAAAGTACTTCCCTCCTTTATTCGCACACTTTTTCCAGTGGTGTTTCCATTTCATAAAGCAGTCCTGGATCCTGGAAAAATCGCAAAGAGGCAGGTCTGGCGAGTAAAGAGGTTGAAGGAGGACATTAATCTGATTAATCAGCTCTCGTCTCTCGTTATTAGTCTTTGAATCATTAGATTATTCAAGCAGATGTCGGCAAACGTCCACACGATTTTTTCTCTGTTGTTCGGTCATTAAACGGGGAACAAATTTTGCTGCAACTCGATGCATTTTCAATTTTTCAGTCAAAATTTCATGGCCATCGATCATCTTCGATTGATCGACGACCACTTTTAAATCGTGAAAACCATTCGTAACATTGCTTACGACCCAGAGCATCATCTCCGTAAGCTTGTTTTAAAAGTTGAAAAGCTTCCGTGAAAGTTTTCCTCAGTTCCACGCAAAATTTGACGTTGCATCGTTGTTCCAGAAGTTCGCACATTTCAAAAATCGTCATTAACACTTAAACAGTCAAATAACCATATCACGAAAATAGAGATTTCAACAATTCAAGAACATGTGGCTGCAGAGGAGGTTATGCGCGACGCAATTCTGCCAACTGTAAATATCTTCATTAGCGCGTAATTCAAAAAGTTCGGTTATTTTCTGAACAAATTCCGTATTCCAATACAGTTAAGAAAATTTGTTTTGTTGCAACCAAGTGTCTTGAGCTATCTAAATAATAGGTTTTTCATTTTCAATTATATATTATATTTAATGAAAGGAAGCATATATAATCTTTTTTTTTCAAATAATCGATCTGTGAAGAACAAAATATTTTAGATCATATTTGTTCAACCAGTAAGGAATTACCTATTACCTAATTCCTTCTTTATTACATTGACATCCTATTTGTATTACCGCACTTTTGGCTCAATTTGTTGACTTTAGAATTCCCGCATTTATTTAATAGGGGGGGGGTAAAACAACGTCATTTGAGGGAATTTGCGAAAAGTTTTAGAGTTAACTTAGACTAATACTTTTAAAGTAAAGTAAAAGCACTTGAACTAATAGTAGAAAATATATAAATTAAAAAACAATGATTATGTTCCAGAATTACCATAAAGTATCTAAGCGGCTGGAATTGAATTTCATCTTCTGTAGCTGATGGATAAAGGAATATTTTTAGTAACTGAAATATATTAAAAGAAAATATAGGTCATCCGTCAAAACCCACCTCGATTAATCTCGCTTCTTCCTTTTCATCTCTGTACTTAAGGACGGATAAATTTTCCATAGATCTCGGAGAATTGCCTGTTATTATGATTCGAGAAAGTTTTTTCTTATTTACGGTATATATTATGTAGGAAATTAATGTCTAGTTCTGGACTGCTTCAAGTGATTGATTCCACAATTATTGGGCTTTCCTTCGATAGATTGTTTTGTTTACACTCGCAAAATGTATACGAGTTCAATAAACTGCGGTAACCTCCTGCTGGTTTAATTGCAGGATTCCAATTTGAGGAACTTTATTGCTGAAGACATTAGCGATCTAAAGCGAGTAATGATTTAGGTCTGTTCCTGATTTCTAATTACAAATCCTTAATTTAAGTAATTATTTCACAGTTGATTTGATTGGATATTTCCAAATAAAACTATTTATATCTACACTGCAGAAATAAGAGCTATTAGCAATGAAAGAACAAAAACAAGATTAAACTTTTTTAAGAACCAATCGAAAGATTCTACTTTCTTATCGAGTTAATATTAGGACACTATTTAAAAAAAAGTTCCTACATACACTTATAATTACTTACCACAACTTATATAAGGTGTAACAGCGATGTTATGACAAACTTTGAGGGGTTATTGTTAAATTAAGAAAAAAATTCTTAAAACTGTTCCTAAGTTTTCCAAGGACAGCTTCTGATCAGCTGTTAAAAAATTATTAAAAGGTTATTTGACAGTTGAATGTTTTTCACAGATTTAGAAAAACCATTTCTAATAAAAAATGTTGTGCCAGAAAAAGTCAGAAGATTGTTAAAAGAATAGTCTACCCAGATCATTAGAGGATTTTTGTTTTGATCGTTGAGATTCCTCATATTATCTTAACTGCACTGTGCTAATTTCAAGTCTATGTTTAATTGGTTCTTAAAATATTGTTAATAGAAATCAGTCCTTAAAGTTTGTTTCAACATCTTTGCTACATATTGACTGCTACTTTATATTCTTCGAATTTTATGAAACAAAAACATTGAAACGCTTCTTTTCAGTTTGTTTCAGGCATCGTCCTGTTATGGACTCTCGCCTTGATCAGTATTGACCGCCACCGCTGCATCGTCGTACCCCCTTACCGATCAAAGATGACTCCCCACCAAGCAACCCTCTCATCGTTACTAATCTGGATCTCCACCGCCATCATCTTCATTCCAGTGGCACTCTGGTTCCGCCAAATCCGATCAGTAAACAATGTACCAGTTTGCACAATGATATTTCCAAAGTCAAACACCATTCACTACTCTATTTGTTTCGTGGTACCAGTTGTTCTTTTCGCGTGTCTGCTACCTATGGGACTGCTGGTGTATCACTACCAGAAAATATTCCAGAAGATTCTATCCACGAAAAACGCTTGGGCCACTTCATGTGTCATGATCAGTGCAGTGGACATCAAAGGTTGCAACAGAGCACAAGTCAGACGTCAGAGCGAACTCAGCTTATCCGACATATTTGTACCTTGGCCAAGGAAATTTTCAGCGCAGTTCGCGACGTCTCCGAATGGAAATAACGTGGGTAGACACGGATCTCTGTCGCACCACGAAGAAATCAGACTGAATAAGCACATCAAAGTAGTGCGAGTGCTTTTTTTAAACGTCGTGGTGGTTCTGGTGATGTGGCTGCCCATAACAGTTATCATGCTTCTTATTTACATAGACGGAAGACGAGCCAATGAGGATAAGAACTACTTTCTGAAATCTCGCCATTTCATCGTAGCTTTAAGTATTGCTCTGCTGAACACCGTAGTGAATCCTTTGCTTTATGGTTTGCTCTCTGACAGTTTTAGGACTTGCCTTACGCGCATTTGGTGTTGCAGGAGCACCTGCAAATTGGATATCCAAGACGCCGCGACGCCGTCAAGTGGTAAATTCAACTGTTCTGGGAAAACCGTCAAAAAGCAAAGCATCGTTAATTCAGTAAGCGAGAAGAGCGAGAATCATAACGAAACTGTGTAAACGGGTGACTAAAATATGAGTAAAATAGAAATGGTGTACAAAGGAACATTTTCCGGATTATAAAATATTAAATTTATAAAAACTTCCATCTTCTCTACGATAGGTAGAGAAAACGCCAATCAACGTTTCTACCTATTTGATTTATTTGAGAAGGGAGTACAGACGCATTCTTTTGGTTTCGCTGAAAGCCATTAAAACATGTTGAAGACGAAGAATAAAGTACTATGGACCAATCAACTTAATTTTACGTTTCCTAGACATTCCAAGACGAAGCACTGTTTTGAAGAACTTACTCGTTGGTTACTAATATACCAATATATGTAGATAGTTAAATTATTGTCAAAACTAAATGTATTCTAAAATGTAAAGCGTAATACAATAGTATTCGAAAGAATAAGACTTTTTTACATTTTTTTTTAACGTTATTATTTGCCCTGATGTATAACTTGTATGGCTGTTCATGTAAATATACTTATTATCCTATATACAATGTTCAAATATACAAAGAAAGTCATTTTCTAGTATTATTTCTAATATCCTCCACAAATCAGCCAATTTTTGTCCTGAATTATCTTTCTGCAGATACCTTTCGTTTTAACCACAAGTACCAAAAGCATTGAATTGTGTGGAGAAGCAAAGGCATATTAATATTCTGTGGTTGAAAAATCTTTTAACCTATTTAGGGTAAACAGCGTTTCCTAAACTTATTGTTAAAACATAATAATAATGATAAAAACTCTTCGAAAACCTCAAATTCACTAGAATCAATTTTTCACTGATAGTTATGAGAAAAAACTATTTTCATTACGCCATGCTCAACGACAAAAATTTCCCTTGTCGTTATACTGAATTTGTTAACCAAAAAATTAGTTTCATATTTAACATATTTTTCTCTGTTCCGTTCTATTTCCTGACACCTACAGACTGACTGATATCTCCACCCCCATCAGCAACATGCAGCAGAGTGCAACGTCCTAGGCAGTCTGTGACGTCAATGGGAGCGATAGAAAATTATTTGCCGTATTAACTTAACGAACCAAGTTTACGTGTTAAATGTATTCTGTTATTCGTTGGGTTGCAAACCCCTGACCTCATCCAGAGGTGGAATTGAAAACGATATTGGTTTATTTCTCTTTTATTTGAGGGGACAATTATTACTGGATATAATTGAAAATATTGTACAACGAATGAGCATAGTAAATAAAAATATTTATTTATTTACTTTATTATTTTTGTATGACTATTAGATTCAAAAATACACCTGCTAAACTAAATGAATTTAAGATTACATTGAAACAAAAAATTACAAAAAAATATTGTCTGAATTTAGTATACAGGGTGTCTCATTTTAATCGATCACACCGAATAACTTTGCAGAATGACCCCCAATTGAAAAACTTTTAGAACAAATGTTGTAAGGTTTTAAGGGGACTGTACGATAATGAACTTGGTTTTGACCAAGAGGTCAAACTTAAGGGTCATTTGGAGATCAACTTCAGAATTTGAAATAGAAACCCCATTTGTTTTATTCAGAAATGGAAAGAGCTGGAAATTTTACGTTTAAAGATGACCTGTATATTTGATAGTGGGTTAGATTGGTCCCCAGGCGACCTCTGAACGTCAAATCGGCTTTCCGACTGACATATTTACATTTTGTGGCAAAGGTTGATTAATTTCTGAGGCAAATTTCGTTCAAACTACCTTGGACATGTTTCATGGTCTAATTATGATTTTGACCTTGAGTCCTAGGGTCAAATTTAGGGGTCATTTGAGGGTTAACTTTGGATTTGGTTTTTCTATCCAAAGATGGGAAACCCAAGATCATATATCTACATCTTTGAATTGCTGAATGAAAATTTCCTGCTCTTTCCATTTATATAAAAAGCAAATGGGGTTTCTATTTTGAAATTCAAAAGTTGATTTCCAAATTACCTCTAAATTTGACCTCTCAAACCAAGGTCATTTAAATATGGCGGGATATGGATATTCTTGCAATTTCTTGGCAAACTATACAACGTAGAGAAAAACTAACCTCCATGTGTTTTAAACAGATCCAGATACTCGTACATTACTTTGGATATTTTTGTTTATATTTTGAACATTTTCACATTTTTTTTCAACTAAAGTTTCAGGGAAGAAGACATGACCTTCTTTCAAAATTTTTTCTTGTGGTCGCGTAAACCTCAAAGGCAGATAAAGGTCAAATCGAATTCCTTGCACCCGATCATTTAAGCCAATTGTCTACAGAGTATTAATGTTTAGTCGTTCAACCTGTCCATAATTATGGTATAAAAATTAATTACTTTTTTTTTAGATATCCTGACAAACTATATCGTATAGAGAAACCTACATTTTCGACGGGTCCAAATACATTTAGATGTTTTTATATAAATTTTAGTTATTTCTATATTTTGAATAGGTATTTAAGTTTTTATGGATTGTAGTAATGAACGTTTTTTGTTTAAAACAATTAAATTAAGTTTTCCTAGATTTATTCAGTTCTAAATTATTTTCTAAATTTTTTTTAGTTAAATATGAATTATTATAAATTAAATGTTATACATCTATTTAAAGTAAATAATGCTTTCAACAGCTCTAAATGAGTGATTTATTTTGTTTATTCAGTGAAAAGCCATTCGTGGTACTATGTAGGACACTTTAAGCGATATCGAGATTAACATTGATCATAAATTGTTAGGGAACTAGACCACTTAAGACCTAATTGCTTCTACTTTGTGGCAGTATTAATTTTTCTATTAATATTCACTGTTGACTCTAACAATAATTCCAAACAACCTAGCCTGAAATTTATGATGCGTAGTCTGATATTAACAGGTTTACTATTCAATGGGTCAACTGGAAATTATGTTCGTCATGATTTAAATTGAAATTTTTGTTATTTTTTTTTTTGACTTCCTATAAAAACTTGGTTTATATCAGCCTTTATTTTTTTTAAAATAAAACGTCTAAAAGTGGAAATGTGTTATTCTTTTGAATTTTCAAATAGAAAACTTAGAATTCAGTGGAGATATGTCGATTTTTGCAATTTGGCATTATATTATAACGTTGCTGATTTCAATAAATTTTTTAAACCACGTAATTGATAAAAACAATCGATTAAATTTACTTTAGAATCGTAATTGCACATTGTAATTATAAATTAGAAAAAAGAGAGGATTCTAAAAAACTACAAATATACAAGGTGTTACACAAGTTTGATTTATATTTCTGAAATATAACAATCAATTGTTTTCTATACATCTCCTTCAGTATGAGAGTTTATTTAACAAACAATATCTGAATATTTTCCGCATCTGTGTCATAGACACAGTAACGAATATCTCCCGATCGAAAATATGTGCTCGAATCAACAGAAATGTGAAGGTACAAACGAAACACTACTGCTAGCATATGTTCATTTTTGTGACATACTTTCACCGGCACCAAATTAATTTTGTTTAAACAAATCATCGGCTCGTTGGTCTAGGGGTATGATTTCCGCTTAGGGTGCGGGAGGTCCCGGGTTCAAATCCCGGACGAGCCCATTTCTTTTATTTCTTTTTTTTAGTAGAAATATTTGCCTTGATGTCAAAGCATTTAAACATCCATTCTCTTAGCTCAAGTGTGGCTAAATGATTATACAGGGTAGGAAAGTACCGATGGTCTATCTGAAGTTACGTGAGAGCGATAAAGTAAGCCATATAAATCCATGCGATAGAGAAGGATGGCTATAATGAAGGCGTCTCTTAGTCACCGCCCGTTTCGCCCTTCCACAAATAAGATCCACTTCTTATTTGTGGAAGGGCGAAATGGGCGTTGACTATTAGACGCCTTCATTATAGCCATCCTTGCCTATCACATGGATTTCTATGGCTTACTTTATCGCTCTCACGTAACTTCTGATAGACCATCGGTACTTTCCTACACTGTAGATTTCATAAAACTGTCTGTTTTAATATAAAATACATTACTCTTTAATATGTTTGCGCAAACGTGTTCTATACTTAAGAGAAATTTTCAAAATTAGATGATTATGTTAAACTTGACATTTTTTGCATTAACTGAAAACTGGTTACATTAAACTGAAATATTCTGATACATTTTCAGTAAGAGGGATCCTAATATATTTTTTATATATAAAACTTGATCAATTTATTCAGGATTTTGTCTCCTGTTTCTTGTCTTGGCGACAATATGCAAGAACTTTCTTTGAGGACTAAGTTGTTAATCTCTGATGAACTTAATAACTTACATAGGAATTTTGGTTAAGATACCGTAATTTTTAAAGAAAATTGTTGCTTGTTGACTAAAATATAAGAAAATAAAGTGATGGTTAACTTTAAGCTAACAATAAGCTTTAACCAACAACTGGAATACTAGTCCTAAAATACACACATATATTAGGTTAATGTAAGTTTTGTAACTAATAGACTATTTATACACAACCAGTGGCATAGAACTCACATATAGTATAGCCAGAAGACACTTTCACCTGTTGCGTAGTATAATTTTTTTAAACATCGGCTCGTTGGTCTAGGGGTATGATTTCCGCTTAGGGTGCGGGAGGTCCCGGGTTCAAATCCCGGACGAGCCCATACATTTTTCTTTCACTAACGAAAATGTGTAAGCAAGGAGATCTACTTCGCAAATTAAAACAATGAAAAATTGCAAGAGTAGCACAAATTTTGTATATTCCATATTCAGCAGAAAAAGTTAACAGTTAGTTTTGGTGGAATTTCAAAACATTATTCACTTCAAGAGTTGTATTTATTTAATCGGTATCTTAATCAAAATTTTTTTTACAACAAATCTGATGATTGCTTTCATCTCATATTTAATTGGGTTTTTAAGAGAAACACTTAAAGATAAATCTTTAATCGAAAATATCAGTGAACAATTTTAGATTAATTTTGTCAAATTATTAATTATTACTTTTTAATTGATAATTTTGCCAGTAATACGCAGAACCAAAAAAAAATCACTAACGTAGAAATTTGCTGGGCTCTTTATCTCTAGGAAAATGCAAAATTTCGACCAGTTGATTTTTTTTGATCAAATAATTGTTCCACGGCTTTGCGGCTGAATTTCGTTGATACAGTACGCGCTCAATTTCCTCCTTCATGGCGTGGGTGAGCGTTGGCTTGTTGGCATAAATCCTAAACTTCAAAAAACTCTAAAGAAAAAAGTTCAACAGCATTAAATCGCATGATTTGGGAAGCCAATTCTGATCATCAAAACGGGAAATTACACTACCAAAAAATGACTCATGCAGTGATTGAATTGTTTGTCGTGCTGTATGACATGTGGTACCGTTTTTTTGAAACCACATGTCGTCCACATCTATATCTTGCAATTTATGCACAAAAAAACTTCAGTTCTTGAGTCAATTGAACTTTGTGAGAATACACTGTAAATAATTTCTTGATATGTCCAATTCTTGACCAGGGTTCCTGACTAAATAATATTTTTCATTTTAGATAAAATCCATCATAGTGTCCTGTAAATGTTAATAGTTAAAGACGGCGAAACGTTGGCAAAGTGTAATATTTTTTTTTTGTTATAATTGCTGACTTAATTCAGAACAAAAAAAGGAAAAAGGAACAACTTAATATTAAAGAATTTATCGAATGTTTGAATTCAGATCAACTATGATTTTTCACTGCATTTCCTTTGAAAGAAATGAGGTAAGTAAGTGTTTATGGAAATACGTTTTCTTTATCTTTATCGATTACAAAGTTAAAAATCAATGGAATATATTAAAAGTGACAGTAATTTGTACTGAAAGAGGACTGAGAAAGTTTTAAGGAATTTGCAACACAAAATAAACTAATTAGATTATTAGTATGATAAATAATATGGAAAATACCAATTTATGTTGATTAAATTAAAGTAAATTAAATTATTACTTGACTCCCCGTTCCTTAATTTTGCTTTGACCCAATTTTTAATGCCCTAAATTTCTTCTATTGCTAACAACACAACTGGTGTTCCAGTTTTAGACTTTTAAAATTTATCCTATAAAATATAAAATGTGAAAATGAAATGTAAAATGTTCCTCTTAAACTCGACTTGCTGTCGCCACATTTTTTATGCAGTTGTATCAACATAAGAGACCAAGATAAGACTTAAGTAGATATAGGAGCAAAATAATTTATGTGATGTACTATTACTTATTAACCTACTCCGTGAAATAAATTATTTTTTTTAAACAAGTCATCGGCTCGTTGGTCTAGGGGTATGATTTCCGCTTAGGGTGCGGGAGGTCCCGGGTTCAAATCCCGGACGAGCCCAGATATTTTGGTCAAAAAATATTGATGTGTCGTTAGTTGAAACATTATAAGTATTATCGTAATTCTCAACGTAGTTTAAAATTTCTACAACATTTTTTTATCGATCGTGCAAATTCTCATAAGAAATAATTTTATGTATACAGGGTGTCCATAAATAATGTCCAATAATTTACCACTTGATTATATTGCGAAAAATAAGAATATTTTTTCAAGTAAACATGGGTCGAGAAATGCTTCCTAAGGGAGCTACGCCCCCTAAATGGGGCCTCAAAAATTCTTTTTTTTCGAAAGGGATTGAAGGAAAATTATGAATTTTGACACCATGAACGCTCATTAAAAGAATAGATCATAAAATATTTCAAAAATTTTCATTTTATCCAAAGAAATAAAGAGTACCCTTTTTGTAAAGAAAATTAAGATCCATCATATGTTGGCATTTGAATTTGAAAATTTCGACAAGTAAAAAAAAATATGAGCAAATTTTAGCCGACGACACCCCTGACTAAAATTTTTGAAAAATTTTATGATGCTCTATTTCCACTTTTAATCAGCGTTCATTGTATCAAAATTCATAATTTTCCTTCAACCCGTTTCGAAAATATAAAAAAAAAATGAATTTTTTGAGGCCCCATTCAAGGGGCGTAGCTCCATTAGGAATCGTTTCTCGACCCATATTTATTTGAAAAAATATTTTTATTTTTGACAATATAATCAAGTGGTAAATTATTGGGCACTAATTATGAGACACCCTGTACAGAATAATGTGAATTAGTTGTAAATATCACTGACATCAAGTATTATTGAAGTGTCATAAATGCACAGATATTGTCGTAGTGTGCAGAAATTCACCCAAACTTCGAAAGGAATTCATTATACTTTCAAAAAGCTCCATACCAGGCGCAGATCCCACCAAAGCGATAAGATTCATAGACATACTACGAAGATTTTCAAGTATGTTTCGAATTTCGGCGAAAATTATTAGGTTCGAAAATCCGAAACTCGAACTTCAAAACGGCCTTAGTGTCAACATTAACACAAACGATTTTCAGCACCACAATTCCTCGGAGAAGGCCACCACCTAGAGAGCAATGCTTTTCCAAAATTTAATTTGGCCAAACCTGTCGTGAGTGATCGAAAGTCAGCTCGAGGACTATGTATTTCTATAATCAGTGTCGGAAGGTGTCCAGTTCTCTGTATACTCTGTATCTCTGTGCGTGTACTGCTTTTTTAAAACCTTAGTATCCTGTGACTCGAAATCTAGACTGCTTAGTCTGGCAATAGAACTTTTTTCTTAAAATAATTTAAAGAGTTTCTTCATTATCAGAACGTATTTGAGGATCACCGTACGGGTACTTAATAATAAACTGCTAACAACCAGGTATTATAAGACAAAACAACTCAAAGTTAAGTACTTCTTTCGCATATACTACGTACCTTACAAAAATTAAAAATATCAAAGTTTACACACTTTATTGTAATAATAGCCACACCCTGGATGTATTACGTAAGTTACACAATTGCAATTTAGATAATCGTTTTTTTTTATTAGATATCCATCACTAAACAGGAATCCATTACATTTCCGCTTGAGTTGTTAAATAGGTGAAAGTAATTACCTTCTATGTTAAATTACGATGCCTGCAATTATCAACATATTTATATAATACTTAACAATTATCAACTAAGAAAAAAAAATATTCAATGGACACCAAGTCACATCTTTGCAGAAATTAAATTATTACTTTGAACTAACTTTCTTTGAGATTATGAGAAGAATGGAGGAACGAAAATAAACTAATTTTATCATCAAGGCGTGCCAGAATTAATTTGTCTACTGTTGTAGAATTAATTAACGTACTTAATACATTTTTTTATTTTACAGGCAGGATGTATACCTATATTATATTTATTTCACTATAGGTACATTAAATAACTTAAAAGAAAGTTAACATTTTGTTATTATCTACATCTTCTCACATTCTGTTGCTATACAGGGTGTCCGGAGATTCCGCACAAAAAATTCGAGGGGTGATATTGTTGGAAAAAATAGTAACGCAAGTTCAGATAAAATTTTTTTCAAAAACTGGTTTCACTGTATTCAAAGCACACTTCACTTATATCGTACAATAAGTAACAATCAGTACCCTGCAAAATTTAAAATGTCGTTTTTTACGAAAGCTATCGACTTTCTGGACTTCAAACAAGAGCATCGTTTTGTGATATTTCTCCCTTTTTTCATGAAATGTACTCAAATTTGAAAAATGTACAAAAAATATCATTTTTTTTTATCAAATGCCCTTTCTGTCATTTAGGGTTTTTCAATTTCTCTAAATTATTTACATAAAATTCCAGTCTTATGAAAGGAATATCTTAATGTTCGAAATGTGAAAAAATCGTTTAGGTATTAAAAGTAATATCAATTTTTCGAAAAAACAAACACTATATGAATTTGTTAACAATGTTTTCCACCCCACAATTTTTTGTGGACACCCTGTATAAACTGGAAAATTAATAACGCAAAAATTATTTTATTACGTTTTATTTCATAGCCAAACATTCAACAATATATTTACATTCTTTTAGGAACAAATATTACACATAACAGAGAAATCAAATGGTACTTATTTTGTGTATTGTTAGATTTAATATGTAAACATTCTTAACAGTATTTATTCAACTTTCTGTTTAAGGACTACAAGCGTTCACAGAGGACAGGACTTGGGAGTATTCCTTTTGTATTTCAGATTCTCCACTAATGGATACCAGGCCTGTGGCTGAATCCTGAAACATAATATATTTTATCAAAGACTGTTTTTGCTTGTTTGGTATTATTCCGATCAAATACATTTGTGCCATCGAATAACAGTCAATATTTCAGCAAATGTCCTTAAGGCAAATATGGTGGGTTTATTTTAAACGTAGATAATGTGCATAACTGTAGAATGGGGATAATATTATGTTAAATTCGTTAAATAACGACTACGAATGGTTAGAAATTCATTTTGATCATAAATCAATTAGTCAAGTTTTAAATCTTTTAATTCTTCAACAATTTATCAAGGACATAAAATAAAAGCAATAAGAAATTGCGTATTTATTTTTACAAAAGCCTTGAAGTTGCATCGCCCGACTGATGTAAATATAATAAAAATTACACAAAAGGAATCGAATCCATTAAAATTGTAACGATGAAAGTATTTTCAATGTGTGTTGTATAATAAACACTGCTAATACGTGTTTCAATCCAGAAGATGTATAAACAAATGTCTGTAAATGTAGGACTCGATATTTTAATTCAATATTATATTTCACATAATTTCTTTTTTAAAAGATGTAGATATAAATGTATTACAAGGATGTATTGATTTGGGTCACCTAAATGCAGATAGAAAAAAGCTTGCATTATAATTATTATGATATTACATTACATAAGCACACAATTTTAAGAAAAACTGTTTACGAATTTAAAAGCTGCCTTTTCACAAATTATAATCATATGACTGTGTGCCTTGACGCTATTAAATGGGCATCTAGATACAGAGGTACATAATGTATTATATAATTTTATTAAGGACTTTGCAAACTCATGAAAATGTGTACTACTAGCAAATGAATTTACGAATCTACTGAACTAGAATATACAAATATTTAGTTAATTTAAGATTTACTGTGATATTTATGTCTTACCTTGAAAAGCAAATCCTTTTTACCATTGAATGACCCGAATAGCTTGAAATAGTCTGGCCTGTCCGTGTACTGTTTGCTAGCTGATATCAAAGCGTTTCTTATTTCATCAATATCACTCTCAGTCTTTAAGTTACCAGTAACAACCTGCAAAAAACGTTTTTAAACACAGTTCTAACATATGTAATATACAGGGTGATTCATTAACAATGGGAAAGTCGAAACCTGAAGATACTACACGTGAAATGGTGACCATTGGCGCAAACATGCCTTATCCGAAAGTTGATAGTTTCGGAAATTCAGGGTGTTGAAAGTTAAAATTTTAAATCGTTTTTTTTGCGATTATTCTGAAAATATGTAGGTTAGGAACTTGAAAATTTGTGAAACTATATTTTTTTAGGCGACGAATAAGATGCGTGTTGTAATTTCAGCATTGCTCATAGAGGGCGCCATTTATGACCAATTTTACCGAAAACTTAGTTAATAACATTTTACCCTGTATATTTAACATGAAACTTGATTCAAAACCTGAAAGAGCAATCATTTTTCCATTAATTATGTACTCTTGTTTCATTTCGGTATCTCGATCCGTTTTCGAGAAAAATCGATTTAACGAACACTATGTTTTGATAATATGAGAAATTAAAAGCGAAACAAACCAAGTGTTTCTTCGTGTTATTACAACAATTAACAATAAAACAAATAAAATACGTAATTATGATTTAAAGTAATTGTTCGAAGAATCCACCGTTGACACTGATACACTTTACACGTTTTCTGAGAGATCTTCGAGTTTGAAACAACATATTGGGATTGCGTCTGACTTCGTTGGCAGCGATTTGTATTCTTTGCCACAACTCTTCACACGAGCCAATAGATTCTTTGTAAACTATATCTTTCATTCGAGACCAAATAGAAAAATCAAGAGGATTGAAGTCCGGACTTCTGGATGGCCAAGCAAAAATGCTTACATGGCCAATCCAGCGATTTGGAAAAACTGCATCTAAATATGCACGCACTGGCCAAGAAAAATGCGGTGGAGCTCCGTCGTGCATGAACCACATGTCTCTTCTTAAATAAAGTGGAACTTCTTCAAGCCGTGGAAGCATTTTTACTTGGCCACCCAGAAGTCCGGACTTCAATCCTCTTCATTTTTCTATTTGGAAGAATCTATTGGTTCGTGTGAAGAGTTGTGGCAAAGAATACAAATCGCTGCCAACGAAGTCAAACGCAATCCCAATATGTTGTTTCAAACTCGAAGATCTCTCAGAAAACGTTGTGTAAAGTGTGTAAATGTCAACGGTGGATTCTTCGAACACTGACTTTAAATCATTATTACGAATTTCATTTGTTTTATTGTTAATTGTTGTAATAACACGAAGAAACACTTGGTTTGTTTCGCTTTTAATTTCTCGTATTATCAAAACATAGTGTTCGTTAAATCGATTTTTCTCGAAAACGGATCGAGATACCGAAATGAAACAAGAATACATAATTAATGGAAAAATGATTGCTCTTTCAGGTTTTGAATCAAGTTTCATGTTAGACATACAGGGTAAAAAGTTATTAACTAAATTTTCGGTAAAATTGGTCGTAAGTGGCGCCCTCTATGAGCAATGCTGAAATTACAACACGCATCTTATTCGTCGCCTAAAAAAATATAGTTTCACAAATTTTCAAGTTCCTAACCTACATATTTTCAGAATAATCGCAAAAAAACGATTTAAAATTTTAACTTTCAACACCCTGTATTTCCGAAACTATCAACTTTCGGATAAGGCATGTTTGCGCCAATGGTCACCATTTCACGTGTAGTATCTTCAGCTTTCGATTTTCCCATTGTTAATGAATCACCCTGTAGATACCTTACCATGTGTGGAGGTGCATGAGCAAAGTTACATTTTGCAAATTCGTCCGGCTTTGCTCTACCTCCCTCTGGACAAAGCAGCTCGTAGTCTGACGACTTCAGGTTTACCGCCCAGGAGTCTTTGTTGTTGCCATCTGCAAAGGAATTTAAATTAAAAAATCAGTTATCTATTTTAGTCAACTTTTTTATAAACCTCTGATCACTTTGAATTTCTGAAAGAATCCGCTACATATCTACAGGCTGTAACACTGACATTGCGACAAATGTTAATGATTAACTTCATATTATGACAAGGTTTTTGATCAGAAAGAAAAATCCTGAACATTCGTCACAACGTCGCTGTACATCCTGTATATTCCAAGCAATGTCTACGAAAGTTTATCGAAATATGCAGGATCCTTACATAAACTTTCACAAAGTTAAATCCTCCATAACAGAGTTATATTCTTACCGGTGTTCCCGGGAACAGTGACATGTTTGACAAAGGCAACGTCTCCGCCTCCTTCTACGAGACATCTGAAAGCTCCAGTGTACCCGCTGTAAGCTTCTGTAGTGTCAAAGTTGCACTTTGTGGAAAGGTCGGACTTATCGACGTTCCCGCCGCAAAGGGTGCAAAGTTTGTCCGTGACTTCTTTGGTCAGTCCGAATCTACACAAAGAAAGATCTGTATTAATAATCAGTGGTTTCCGTAACTTTATGGACCAAAAAATAGATAATATCGGATTAGAACCATTTAACGGGAGGCTATAGGTATGGTCTAAACTATTAAATGTAAAGAGTGTTTACTTTGTGTTTTTCTGACATCAGATATGAAATATTTCAACTAATTCTGAGAATATAAGGAATAAACTAGAAACTAGATGTTTCTAGAGACATCGCTCTCTTCTTCAGCAGAAACTGTGAAACTGGAGACTAAGTCTTTTAAATGGAATTTATATTTAAACTCGTCTATGGTGTTTCTAGACATAGCCTTCTTGATTTTTATGGATGAATTGTTTCCAAAATTCAATTAGTTCTAACTTTTCATCTCAGTTCAAACTATCTCGATTCTTCTGCAGTTCTATTGCTATTGGAAGCAATAGAACGCTTCCTTGTAGATTCCTGGATAGAAATATTCTCCCTTTCACTACAGTTCTGATATTATGTACCTAGTTACATATATCACGTGTCGAGTAGATCTGTATTTTGCAACTACTGATTTTTCTACGTTGTAATTCTTCAGGTGACGCACACTTTTTTCCTTAGTGATTTAAATGATACAAATTGCAAATGCAGATCAAGACCTCATGTGTTTTAATCAGATATAATTGTACCAAAAATTAAATATTTTTATTATTTTTCTCACCTTGTGTCTTTGGATCCAGGCAAGCAATTACCGCCAGAGAAATACTCTGAAAGCGCCTTTGGATAAGGGCAGTTAGTTTTCTCGATTAAGTTTTGCTTCAGGAGCTGATAAAGAGGCGCGTTATACCCTGCAGTACGTCCTATTCCTGTGTGACAGGATTTGGCTCCCTTTAGGTCTGATAGTGACTGATAAGAAGAGCCCTTTTTAACTACGGCGACGGCATAGTAGGACCCTCCCAATGGTCCGTATTGTTCAGCTACTATCGGCTTGAGGTTGTACTCTCTTTGAGCCAAGTCGACTAGACCACCTATGAAAAAATAATAAACAATTTTATAGCGGATAATACATAAAAAGAAGATAATGTTTGTACTGTCAAGGAATATACAATATAACTGTGTATGTACAGGCTTGTCCATTTTCGATGGGAATTCAGGATATTTCAGAAAGTTCTAAAGATATGATAAATCTGATACGACGTTCTCGAGCTAGATTTTCATGGCAAACTCGACTATCAAATCGGAAATTTACTATCTTCATTTGTTTTTGAGTTACAGGGCGTTTCTCGTTACTGTCACATTTTTTAACATGTCTGTATCTCAGCTGTTAAATAAGTTAGAGTTAAAGTGAAAACTGCTTAAGACTAATTCTTTGGCGTAGAATTGAATGCCGGTATTAAATTTTTAGTAGATCTTAAAATTTCGGAGTTATGACCCTAAGTTATATTTTTTTAAATGGAAATCGTAGCTGACCATGGCCTAAAAAAATAGAGTTTTTTTTTCGCTTTTTAGCAATATATAACATGCTATAGTTATTTTTACACACACGGGAGATACGGGATGCATATAAATAAATTATACATTTTTCCTTTTTAAGATAACTGGCTATGAAAATACAGATAAAACTATAATTCTTACTTTTACAAAAGTCATTTCCGTTGTAAAAATATGACGTTTATTTTAAATGCACAACATATACTCGTGTAATATAATACTAACGAAATTATAGGAGATAGGTGGATAGAAACAAACGGACCGATCAAATGGTCAGCTAGGTTACGTGATTTTAGTCCATTGGACTTTTTCCTTTGGGGTTTTCTAAAAGACATTATATTTAAAATTCCTTTTAATAATATTTCAAATATACATTTAATAAGTGCTACTCGAAGCGTTGCCAGAAGATGCGTGAAATGTGTGACAGTTGAGGGACGGCAATTTGAACATTTAGCTGTCATTTTTGAAAGCTTTTATTGATGTAGGTACTTACTATTGTTTAAATTATGTTTAATATTGTAACTTCAGTTGAAGTGGAATAAAAATTTGAAAACTGTATTTTCTTATCTGTAATATATATTTTAAATAAATGTTATATTTTTGCAACAGATATGAGTTTTGTAAAAGGAAGAATTATAGTTTTGTATGTATTTTCTTAGCCAGCCATATAAAAAATTATCGAATTTATATATAAAACACCCCGTATCTTCTGTGTTTGGAAAAATAACTATAGCATGTGATATATTGTTGAAAAGCAAAAAAAAAAATCTCTATTTTTTTAGGTCATGACCAGCTACGATTTCCATTAAAAAAATATAACTTTGGGTCATAACTTCGGAATCTTAAGACCTACTAAAAATCTAATACCGGCATTCAATTCTACGCCAAAGAATTAGTCTTGAGCAGTTTTCACTTTAACTCTAACTTATTCAACAGCTGAGATACAGACATGTTCAAAAGTGTCACAATAACGAGAAACGCCCTGTAATTCAGAAACAAATGAAGATAGCAACTTTCTGATTTGACAGTCGAGTTTGCCATGAAAATCGAGCTCGACAACGTGCTGTCAGATTTATCATAGCTTTAGTAGTTTCTGAGATACCCTGAAATCCCACCGAAAATGGACCAGCCTGTACACAGAACAATTGTTTGGACATATTTAAATTTAACTAATGTCAGTTCCTTTTTATTACAATTTAATTTGAATTTGATAATACGAAATAATGAAAAGGTGCAGTTGTAGATTGGAATATCTATAGTGCCAATATGAAATAAAAAACGCTCCAGAAAAATCCAATTGAGTAAAAAACAGGTTGTATTGTAATTTTGTTTCTTATTTTTTATAAGCACAGGCGAGTACTATTTGAATAATTTTAGGACAAAAAGTTTTAATGAAAGAGAAATCTAAAGCTACTGGTTAACGAAATACGGGGTGTATTATACATTATTTCAAACATCTCTTCTGAAGACGGTTTAATTAATTAAAAGTGAAAAATTCTTTTATTTGGTACATAAACCAATGACTTTTTTTTAGAAATTTATTTTATTTGAAAGACGAGTAATTTTCTAGTAAATTTCTGCCGGAATGGCTTTTTGAGCTTATGATGATTATATAGGTATATTATACATATACCTACATATTTAAAATTTATTTCGAACAAAAAATTCCTGTAAAGTGAATGAACAATTTTTTAATTATGTTCGATTTATTCAGCTGTATTTAACCGAATTAAAAATTAAAGAAAGTAACCCCAAAAATGGCTCGTTTTTAGAACAAACTGAAGGTCGCTTTTTTCGTGGAAAACCAGCGGCGTAGAAATTTTGGAGCTTCCATTTACAAGTACCTTTTAGTATCATAGATTTACATATTTATATGCTCATTTTGCCTTTAATTATTTAATTACCAAATTTCATGAATCCACATATATATTCGAAAAACATGTGCTATATATTTTTTTATTTTCCATATCTTGTATCTCAGAATTCAATGGTAAGTGGGATCCAAGGAATAGGTACACCCCTCAACTTTCTAAATGAGTAAAACTTATTTCGTGAAAATAAAAAAATACAGGATATTGCATTTAAAAAACAACTTGTATACATAAAAATCAGATTAAAGTCCAATTGTTTTTTAAAAAATAAGTTTTTGAAACACTCTAGGTGCCATACAATGTGTATGGGAAAGATACTAAGGTCATTATTTTCTGTAAAAAAATCTATACTTGCACATAAAAAGACAATCGGTCTGGGTTAAAAATTGTTTTAAAAGGTGGAATGTTGAAAAAGAGTTAGAACTGAATGAATGAAATTTCAAGAGTATTTCATGCATCTCTAGAAAAAAACTGCATAAATATGAACTATTATTTTTTAACTCATATTTACGTGAACAACTATGTATTTCATTTAATCGAAAGTATCTTTAGATATATTCATTTCGCAAAAATTATTTTTTAGAAACACGATATTTACATTGTATTTATTGATTCAAGCCCATAAAATCATTGCTATGGACATTTGGCATATCTAAAACAATATGCAAAATTTTTAGGCCGATGATTTTTTTGGACTTTTGGATTAAAATCAATTTCTAAAAAAAAAAATATTACGTATTTAATGAAGTACTTAGTAGCATGATATTTTTTTAATTTAATCACCCTGTATCAAGGATATGATACATTTCTGTATATCGAACAGGACTTTTTTCTTATTTTGAATTCAAATTTTCAATTTGTTCCCGAAACACAGTGCAGGATATTTAATAAAGGTTGGTAAAGACACATCGAATAAACCAATTTAATTATGTACAATGTAAAAAAAATTAGCAAATTTTTACTCAAAATCAACACAATTTTTTGTTAAAACGATTCCACATCCAACTGTGTTGGAATAATAACACTATTCGTTAAGTAATGTTCATTTATCTATTAAAAATATAAAGACATAAATAGATAAATATAAATTGTATACAGGGTGATTCACAAATGGTGACCAAGAATAAAACCTCGTATTCTTTGGTGAATTTTAAGCGGAGTCTTTCCTATACAGTTTTTATCTAGGATGCTTCGTTAAAAAGTTACAGGGTGTACTTCAAAAAATATTTTTAATTTTTTTAAACAATTTAGAAATTAGTAAGTGAAATAATTTGAAATTGCGCGCATGTAGGTATTTATGTAAACATTGTCCAAAATCTGAGGACTTTTACATACAGGGTATCGGTGGAATATTTTTCTAAATAAAATAGTACAACGGTACGGTAACAACCATTATATTTTCGGATTCGTCTTTCACTTTTCTACAAATTACTACTCTCTTTCGAAAAAAGCCTGATTTTCGAGTAAAATTTAAAAAACCAACTGAAAACACTTTTACTTGAATGACATAACAAGCACTCGTCATTGGGTTATCTATTCGAATAAAGAAATTAATAACATTAGTCATCATTTTAATAATTTTATTTGAGTAAATGTTCAAAAATATCTCCATTTCCACGAACACAGGCCCGACATCTTTTTAGTAACGAAAATGCAGTTTGTCCGAAATTTATTGTTGGTTGAATCTGATGTAAATCATTATTTATTCTTTCTTGTAAATGTTCAGAATGTCAAAGTTGCTATCGCAGCACACTATGTAATTTTAAAAAGCATTATATTCGAATATCAAAGTGTGTTCTCAATTCGTAAAATTATAATGAAAATGTTATTCAAGCATATACGTACAAATATTCTGTGAAGTAACAATTCATTGATTTTCTTTCAGTGTTAATGTCCCCTCACATTAAACTAAAGCTAAGTAGCTGAACTGAGAACATTAATTATTTATGAAACAGTGGAGTTTAAGTTTGTGTATCATGAATTAATTATTGTATGGTTGTCAAACCTACTCAGTCGTTATGTCCAGAACCCCACTTTTCAACGAAAAGTTCTGCGGCATCTCTAAAGTTTAATTCAGCATTTATTTTCACTTTCTTCGTTAATTTATAAAAGTTTTAATGAGGTCCTAAATTTTCTGAAAGCGAACTTTTAGCAACGTACTTTAAAAGTTTTATTCAGTGTATTCAAAATAAATTAAGGACTCATCCCTTAATTATTAAAATACATTCTAAATAAATTTATTTTTCCGGTACTTTCGGTATTTTTGTTCTAAAGATCCATTCAGTTTGTTTATTTTCTTCTAAATAATATTCAAAAGGGTTTAATTATTCGTTAGGCGAATTTTTCTTATAAAATTTGTTAAATTTACACTTAATGTAGCATTGTTCTTTCAGACTTACCATCCAAAGTTATAATGTCAGCTCCATTATCTCTAATAGTATTCAAACAAGCGTATACATTCTTCTCAACAACACAGTCAAACCTTGGTCGAATATTTCTTGAGAAAGCGGACTTGCTCAAAGCTCTGCATTTATCTTCCTCATCTTGAGATGTGACGCAGAATCTAATAGTTTTGAAAGGAGGACCATAGTCTCTCTCAATAACATCGGTGTAGTTAGCTTTGTCCAAGTAATCTCCAGGAGAAATGACCTTGTTTTCCCTGGGAGCGGTTTTGTCGTTCAACTCTAGAACTTTCTCCAGCCAAGGTGCATGATGTTGGGATCCAACAGTGTTCAGATTTTCGATTTTCTTGCGCAATTCGTCGACGGTTTTGACCACGTCGGCATTGGCCATATATCCTTGCCAAGGTCTGGCAGCCCATTTGCAGGGAGGTCCTGTCACTGGCACTCTGGTACCGTCTGGGCAGAGATATGCGTAGTCCGCTGGGTTCTCGTTGGTTGGTCTGGCAGGACTAATACCAACAGGTAACTGTAATAGAGATAGATTAGAAAAATAATGAGAGCTATCGAAAATGAAGTAGAGAACAGAAAAAAAATTGTCCCATTTTCATTAAAATTATATTGGATTATTTTTAGAAAATTAAAACCGAAGAATGCCTTCTTAAGCAACATTATTTATTATTTATTTTTATCAATTTTTTAATAATATCCAGAAGCAAAGTTTGCTTTTTAAAAGATCGAATTTAGAATAGGCATACAACCATAAGACACAACTTTTCTTAACATCATGAATTATTTCATGTAAAGTAACTTTTGCTACATTTTTTTAAAATGTTCCTTAATTCCAGGTAAGATCTGTAAAAATAACGGTAAAATTTGAGTTTTTTGGAGTTTCTAACAATGCAGAGCTCATTGACCATCGAAATCTAGTAGGCTATAAGTTGTTTCTCATATGATATGGGTATTTCTTTAGTATTCCAATCGAGTTCGAACGTGAAAAAATTATTAGTATATATTTGATTACACTTTATGACGGGGAAGAGTAGATATGTAGAATAACAATATCAAAAACGTAACTCGAAAGAAGTGGCGCTACGTTGGCAAATTGCAAATAAGTGGCAAATTTACGTGTTTTTTCATTTTTTTTACTGCCCACGAAAACTTAGACGACCTATAGGAGAATTAGTCATTTTTTATTACAATCTATCTAAACTAACTAATGTTACATTAATTTGTTAACTGCTTTGAACTTGGAAGAATCAGAAAATTGCGCAATATTACAGCAAAAAGCGATGTATGTTGATGAAATTTATGGAAAAGACGGTCAATCCAAAGACCGTTTGCCAAAAACCGATTCGATTCGATTGGTGCTCCTGATATTTGTTAATTAATTTCGTTCGTTTTTTGTTTAATTGTTTAATTACTAAACGTTAATTTTAGAAGTTGATATCTAATTGATCCAAAGAAAGGTATCGAAAAAGAATAATTTCAAAAAGTTGAAATTATACAACAAAGTAGGACTTGCAAAACAGCGTTATAAACAAGTTGTCCCAGGGTCAGGCAAAAGCCGCTCGCGAATTCGCTCTTTTTGCATTAAATAGAGCTTATTTTTACGGTAATTAAAAAAATAAAGAGAAATCACCTACGCCTTTTTGTTCCCAATTTACCTTTTTTTTATAACGTTAACTGTTAATTAACCATTGGACGTATCATACCGGGATTTTAGAGATAATTAAAGTAAGGGTTAAACTTTTATTAACCCGCGCATGCGCGTGAACGTCGTCCTCGTCGCACGCGAGATTTTAGACTTGAACGTTTTAAATTCGGTTATTGAAAAATGGTACTCTAGGTACAACTAGTCTATTTCCTGAAGACAATTTTTTTAAATCTAAAATATCTTTCGTATTCGAGCTTACCCCAAAGAATTTTCTGACGTAGATAACTTTGGTCCAAGCAACTTGTCCACCATTGTGCGCCAAACAACGAAGAGCTCCGTCGTATCCAGAGAAATTGTCGGGATAATCACAGACGTCGGGGTGTTCACAAAGCTCACAAAGGTTTGAATATTTCTTCTCTGCAAAAGATAGTTTAAAAAAATAAGGAACACGAAAAGTAAATATAATTATTTTATTTTCAACACTCTTTCGAAAAAATGGGCTGAAAAAGTACCTAGAGAGGAAACATCACAAAGAGTGCACCAAATTGGAACTAGATGTCTGCCCTTTTTGTGATAAAGAAACCCTATTTGTTGATAAATTTGAAAATCTATTGTTTTCAAAATATATATAAAAAAATAGTGTGTAGAGGCAGCCAGTTCACTTTGCTTCAAAGTTCCCCGTATAAGTATAGACTTTTATTGATACTTAACACAAAAATTGATAAGTTAGGATAAGTCAGGTTTAGGTTTTTCTTGACAAGTACGAAAAAGAACTAATCGTAAAAATGATTGCATTAAAGTTCATTCTGGCCTACGTCATATAAGAAATGCGCATGCGAGGAGCCTCAAAGCAAAGTGAACTTTGCATTTTTAGACTTCTGCATGTCAAAACAGCATTTTATTCATCATTAGAAATCCTCAATACACAATTTTAATACTAAATGGCAAAATATTTAATTGTCACGTTTCTTCCTACATTACTCTTTAATGAAATTAACCTTACCCATGTTGTTACAGTGTATAAAATAGAAATTTAACCTCGGGATATCCTTGCATCCTTTTTTGTCATGTGTAGAAAGAGGAAAAGTGCAACTACTTCTACGTACATACTAAACTGATTACCGGTAATTAAATCTTAAACTTAATTAATGAGTCACAATGGTCGTAAATTGTGCTCATTTTCCCATATTGTTTCATTACAGTCTAGTACGTTAATCCTTTTTAGACGTATGTAATTAAATACGTCGTAAAACTAATAACTAATTACATACTTAGTTTTATCGTATTAGGTTCTGTAATTTTGTAATTAAAACAAGGACCAAAATATATCTATATTATCTACAGAAGGTTGCCAATTTAATACGACGTAAAGTATAAAGTTCTTACATCAAGATATCATTTGATTCTTCTATTGACCATATTTTAATTTGAACAGACATCGCACAAATATTTTAAATGAACAAAAAATCATTGTCTTACAGATACAGACATATATTTTACGTGCGTATTCGTACTACTCACTCAATTTCAAATTGATTTTCGGGTCAGGTGACCACTTTCCGACGATGCAAGCCTTGTTGAAAAGCGTGGAAAACGCTTTTAGTTCATTTTCTCTCGGTGATAGATCTGGATCAGCCAGATTTCCTATGACACCCATTTGCTTCAGTTTCGTTAAAGGTACCTTATAGCCTACATTTCTCCCGACCCCAGTGTGGCAGGAGTTGAGTCCTTTTAGTCCCTGGATGCCGTTTATGTCCAAGTCCTTGTGGATAACTACCACGGCCTCGTACCTAAATTCGGCTGAAAATATACAAAATACAATACAATATTGTCCTTGAGGAAAAATGTGCAAGATCATCAATTCGGTATTTTTAAAGACATCGGAAAAGTCAAATATGACTTATTAATTAACATCTCACCAAGAATTACTCCAAAAAAAAATTCGAGCATTTCAGAGATATACTCTGTTATTTTGAATGCCCTGTATATTTGTATATATTCCATCAGAACGTTTTCTTAGGAATACAAAGATATCAGTTTCGATAAATTTATTCAATATGCTAAAAGTAATGTGTCATTAGCTCATGTATTAGAAAAAAATGATGTAGATATTAATTTATATGGAAAAAGTAAAAACTATTTAAAAAATGCGCAAATGCTATCCAAAATTAATGGTCCAATTTGAATCTTTCAATAATATTTTCGTTTGGTAATGTCTCTGAAATTAGATATTTTTATCTGAGCAAATCAAAGTACGTGTTGGTTGTTTAAGCGTTGTTAAGACGTTATTTTTTTTAATTAAATTACATTCGCTGCTTAACAAGACCATTAATAAGATCGCCTTAAAATAGGTAGTACGCCAATGCTAAATTAACTACTCTTTTTGTAAAGGAGCTTTGCAGAATACTAAACTAATTCTATTGTTTATAGTATTACGCAATTCATTGAATATATACATATATAAATACTTTTGGGCACATAAATATTATTGTGTCTCAAATCAAACGAAAAACTTGCTTCGACTGTATTAAATTTAATTATAATTTGCATACATGTTTATATCAAGATTTGAGATTCATAATATTATGTAATTTAAGTACATCTAAATGTCAGACATCATATTTTTGCACTTATTTGTTTCAAATTAAAATAAAACCAGTCTGTTATACATAAAAATGAAACAGGATAATGTCTATTTGTTGTCTAAGGTTAGACATTGACTCAAAATCTGGCTAGAACTATAATTTATTCCAGAAAGCAAAAGAAACCTCTTTATTAGAACTAATTTGCAATGCAAAACTCGCTTTTGTGGTTTGGTAAATATTTATTTATTAGCATGCATAAATGGCTCAGTTTGTTTTAAATATTTATGTAACTCAAATAAGTAGTCAGGTCATAACGTAAAAGTTCGGAGACTGCTTTGAAATTAGCATAATAGAGTGTATACATTTAAGTGTTTGTTTATGTTGTTTTTACATAAATTTATACTTGTTGGTGTACTTTTAACGAATTTGTAAAAAGAAATGTTCAGTTAACTTACTCATATAAAATAATTGAAGCAATTCTTAACAATTTTTAAATGTTATCTGTTTAGAGTTTAGTCTTTGTATGGTAGTAAGGAAGGAAGCGGAAATTTAGCTATTGTAAAACATTTTTCTAAGTATGACTGAAATAGCACGAAAATCAGCGGTTCCTTCCTTATTTTAAATGGATCGCAAATTTATGAATATGAGAATAATTACCATCAGGTTCCTCTCTGGTTCTGATCTCTTCGAACACTGAAAAGTGTTGATCTGGCACCTTAGAGGCGATGTACATGTCTTCAGGATCAACAGTAAGAAAATCTGCTTCCTTATCTTTAATTTTCTCAATGCAGTCAACTCTGAAAAATATATTTTGTTTACGTTTCATAAAAAAATCAGTCGCTTAGAAAAACAATTATTATTTATTAAATTAAAGGCTTGTTAAACAGTCATAAATGTACAAATTAACTTTTTTATGAATCTCGTCAAGTTGGAAGTGTGTAATTTTGAAATTAGCATCTTAATTGATGAGTGCACTCTTGCCGCAATAGAAAGTGATCCGCTGAATTCACTTTAACACTAAATGGGTTCTCATCTAACATCTTAAAAGAGATAATTATTTATCATTATAATAATATATTCTGTTGCATTGATAAATATTACTTTTACTTTTTACTCGTATAGAATTTCGAAGTAAAGTTTTTTAATGATTTAATGAACCATGTGCACGCCACTGTGCACCATAATAAAATTTGGAGATTATCATTTATCGCTTTCTAAGAAAGTTGACTGTGTTAATGTTATTCTAGTCGGCAGGTGTTGTTGTAAACAAAAAATAAATATGCATAGGTCACAGTCATTACTCATTCAAATAAAAAATTCCCTCGCCGGCTTGTGAAAACTGAGCCTAAGTTAAGCTAAAAATGTGTACATAAAGTGTAAGGTATAAAAACTACCATAGTTTCGAATTTCAGAACGAAAGTTTTATTTTCTTTTAATAATACATGTTTTATTGTTAGTTCTTGTATTTTGATTTTATTTTGTAGCTATTTAAGCTAATTTAGAATTTTTAGATAATTTGAATTACATTAAAAAAGCAAATAAGTTTCGTTGCAAATTAAAGAGTATGGAAAACATCTGTAATGCTATAATAATCTAATTTCAATAAACCTACAAAATCTCCAATTAAAACATTTTCTTTAATTGAATAAATAAAAACATCTTGTAATTATTATATACACGGTAGTTCATTAGCGTGGCAAAGTACGATAGCGCTTTTCTTACTTGTGATACAAAAAGAAGTGTTCAAATGAAAGTTGGCAAGAATCAAAAATATGTTTTAAAGACATCAAGAAGTTACATAGTTTCTTTATATGAAACATAGGTATATATTCTTTACATATTTGAATTCTCTGTAAAATTGTACATATGATGGTGTAAACAATTTTATATTTGACTGCGGAGTTGCCAATTATTTAGAAAATTTCTTAAATTTTGTGAAAAATGGTTTGTTAAACTTTGAAATAATTTTCAGTGGGTGTTAGAAACAATATTTCAGTGTGAAAGACAGAGGTTAGCTTGAGATGAGATTCATTATTTTATATAGGGTACTTTTTATAGACATACCAACTTTACAAATTTCATACATCTCTTATTTTTTTTAAATAGAATATCATGTATTTAATTTTAAACTTTTGTACACCATTTTACTCTATTTATTAAGGTACATATTTCTATATTATTTTCACTAATTTTGAAAATATTTGGTAATATGAGATAAATGATATTTATAACAAAATGGAACGCTCTATATTTAATTGTCTCATTATGTACACCTTTTTTTCTCTTTTTAACATTTGTTATATATATTGCTTTTACTAATTTTTGAGTTATTTCATTAAAAAAAGCTGAAAAGCAGTATCATCTAAAATTTTAGATTATAACAAAACCAAACTTTTTTTTTCAGTGTTCACATTTTCGTTTATAAGTGCTGCAAGCGATTTTTATTTTTAATGGGAATTCATTGTGGAATGTTTCATAACCTTGAAAATTTTGCAGCTTTCATGAAACTAAAGACAATTAAATTATTTGTTTTTAAGTAATGAATTTTCTTTATTCCTTTTTTGCATTAGCCATATGTAATACATAAATGGCTCAATTTTTCGGAATTACTAAATTATAAATTAAAATAAGTAAATTAGGCTAGGTAAAAAATATGGATAATTATAAAAACAGATTAAAAGCTAGTTGTCTTTTCAACAATTTTATAAAAAAATGAAATATCTCCAAAATTTGCGAAAGTAACTATGTACAGAAATACCCAATGAGCGTTAAAGATGTTAAAATCTACAAAATGACATCATTAAACAAAGATGATTTAAAAAAATTAGAGAAAGTGTTGTTCAAAGTTTCTAAAGTTGATTTGTTTGTAAAGTTTAAATCTTCACTCACAGATCTGCAGTGCTTGATTAACCTTTGTCCTGCACACTGAAATATTTTGTTACAATGAAAATTATTACAAATTATAACCGACCAGCAAAATTTAAAGAATTGTCTAAAGAATTTGGCAACGCCGCATCTGTATGTTACTTCGTACATTCGCAGTTCTCAATAACACTATTTTTGAACCGCTCCAACTTTTATTTAAACCTTTTTTTTGTTGAATAATAAAATAGCTACCTATTTTATTTTGCCCACTATACGATCACCTTATACATATCTGTGTGTGTGTGTGTGTTGTTAATAATAAGTAACAAATTAATGTTCATAAATATGAAGTAATCTATCACATTCCGCAAATCATGAGAACGATATGATTACAATTTTACAGTATCTAGTTACCTGTCCCTTGCTGGAATGCAAATTATTTTTGCTGTGCTTTTCGTTTCTTCAGTCACCATTTGTTTACACAGGTCGAGTAGGTCCTCGGGGACACACATTTTGTCTGAAAAAAAATAGTAGTATAAAAATTTTTATTTGAAAATTTGTTTGTTAAAAATAGCAATACTCATTATTGCCGCAGTATTTGTCTGTATTTCAATTCGAAATTCTAGACAAGTGTTTGACTGATTCTAAAGTTTCTATCCGAATACTTAATACTGGAATATGGAAACTTCTATCTTTTGAAACATCTTTTCTTTCACTCTATATATTTTTTTACATAAATACAAACAAATTGCTCTAGATTTTGTTTCGTCAAGGCTAAGTTAATAGAAAACAAATTAAATAATTTGTTTACACATTACACAATAAGGCTTGTTCTACAATTGTCTTTAATTTAATTCGAAGAAATATTACTTACAGGAAAATCCAGAATGATACTCCACGCATATACACACGTATTTCTTTGACCACAAGTGTATTTAAGCAAATTAAGTAATGTACTTACAAAGTATCGGTAGCAGAATGAAAAGACAACAAAGATTATAATTTTTAAACTTTAGGCATTTATATAATTGTTTAAATCAAAACTTTGGAAGAGTAAGTTTCTGATAGTAATGCCTCATCTTAGAGTGGCAACTGGCGAATTCGCCATTCTTTGTAAATCATTTATTTTACATAAATTAAACAGTAATATATCAATCACCATCACCACCTTTTAAGGGACTAAATGCAATGCACTTAAATTACTATTTACAGAATTCGCAGTACCAGCAAGAAATGGTCTACAAAATAATTCATTTATAAACTTGGTAACGGGAAGACATTTTTTGATTCTGTGACTGACTTTTATCCGTAGCATTTTAAATACACTCTGTATATAGGGTGTCCGTTAACAAACTTTACCACTAGATTCTACTACGAATATTAATGGGGAAAAGTCGTTTATAACGTTACTCATAAACGCTTAGTTTTCGAGATACAGGGTGTTCAAGTTGAAATATAAATAACATTTTCTTTAATATCTTTAATAAATTTCGTATCCGGGGGTTTTTTGGGATGAGAAATTTGAAAATATCGATAATTTCGTTGTATCTTTTAGAGTGCGCCATAAAAACAAACAAAACTTTTTTGTGCCACCGTGTATTTCACGTAGGGCTGGAAAAATCTTTTACCCCCAAAATTTCTGCTTAAAAACCTTGCTAAAGCCAACAAAATGGCATTTAAATATTTTTTAAAGTTTATAAAAACTTTATATGCCAAAGAATACGAGGTTTCATTTTTGGTCACCATTTGTGAATCACCCTGTATAGTCGACTTTAACAGATTATGATTAACTACTTCTTGGAAACTTTTTGATAATATATTAATGACTTAGCAGAAAAAACAATTTACCTAATTTATAAAAGTTAAGTAACTTATCTTAAAATACTAATTGCTTCTTGTAAATGATATTTAATGTACTATTAACGAACGTGAATATACAATTTTCTGAGTATTTATTCTATTTTCAACCTCAGTTTTTTATTGCGATATTAAATCATATAAAAATTTTAAAAAATCAGAATCTATTAAACAAATGAATACATTTAGTACGTATTGAAATCAGAAGTAAGATTTGAAAGTAGTAAACAACAACTGCAGAAAAAGTTAAAAGCAATACATAAAAAAATAAGTAAAAGTACCTATATGTCTTTTAACGTTAATTTTTCCTATTAATTCTTGAGTTTTAGAAATTATTATTAGACAAATGTAAAACGAAAGGTCTTGAAAATGTTATATTTTTTGATTGTATACATTGAAATACAGGATGTTTCCGAGAACAATGTCATAAATCCTTGGAGTAATAGGACATTGTAATAACTTAGACCTTTTCCTATGAACTATGGGTCTATCGTCTTTTGTTTTCAATATACTGGGTGTTACGGTTTAAATTTTTTTAATTAATTTTGTAAATATCTCCAAGACTAAGGAATTGAAGTTTAGTAGGTAGGTATATCTTTTGAGAGGACTTAAGTAACTTAGCTTGACTTGTTTTTTTAAGTAAGTTGTACAGAGCGTCTATTATGCTGCAGACCAATGATATTTTAGATCGTAGCCATTTTGAGGTTAGGCTTTTTGGAGTCCTTAGGTAATTTTTTCATGTAATTTTTCATAAAAAATGTTCTCTTATCAAAATTCACTTCGTTTTAGAGAAGAACTGCTAAAACTAGAGGTGGATCTGCCAAACATTATAATTTATAAAAATCAGACTACTTGAACAAAAACAAAGTTTATGAAAATATTTATATTTAGCGAATTTTAACAGGAGTGTACATTAAAAAATACTTAATAATATCGTTCCAAATATCCCAAAATCTTAATCTCAACAAAGTTGTCACCTAAAACATTCCTATTTTGCAACATAACAAAAAACATATGAAATTATTTTCAATTATTATCAAAGCCTACATTTTATTTATTTTTTCCATGTTAAATTTGACAAAAATTGGTTAGCAACTTTCTTAAACCTGAATATGCCACTAAATTTTGTATCTCATCAACGAACCAAATTTTATGAAAATATAATCATTGCTCTTTGTAAAATTGACGTTAAAGTTTTTTATTTCCGTTTTTCCTAAAAGGCATATAAAATAAGGAATCATAAATAAACTAAACAAACAAATAAAATTCACACTAACGTGTTTTTTTAACATGCAGTTACAAATAAAAAAGTACAAAGAAGATTATGACTCGATATTTGTGTATGTGTTCATGGTGTATTAAAAACTACCATTTAATTTGGAACTGCGCATTTAAGAACAACATATTAGTGAACATTTTATTTGTTTATTTCATTTATTTATGATTCCATAGGTTGCTTATAAACAAATTACTAACCAATTATGTCAAATCTGGAAAAACATGCTATTTTACAAGGGTGTTTCCAATTGAAATGGTAACAATATGGTATGTCATTCTGAAGAGTAGCATATATGTATTTACCAGTCAAAATTTTAGGTTTGCATCCGAATACGTATTATGCAGGAACTGGTAAAATTTTGTTATCAATAAGAGGCAGAGTAAATTACTTCAAAGTAATTCATTTTATTAATTAATGGAACAGATAGGCGGTTTTCCTTTGAATTATCCGTTAAATTAGATTTCCCTTTCAGCTATTTCACGTTACTTCGAGATCGTGTTGAAACATTTGGGCTTAAGTTAAATAAAATTCGTAGCACAGCAAATAACATAAACATTGACTTAAAACGTACAAAACAACTTAAATATATAAAAAGCAAAGGATATGTTTCAACAAAGGCCAAAGAAATCAGGTCTTATACATAAATACAATTTCATCATTTAGCTACCAGCCAGAGAATTACCGACTTAAAACTTGTTACGGTGTGTTGGTTAATATTGTTATTCAAAATGTTCTTAACATTCGCAATATTTTAGTACCATATACATATGTACTTTTATTTGTACAGAAATTTAAATGTATTTGTTAAATTTGGTTCAAAATTATGTACTTCGGTTATTTTACCAATTTAAAGGAATCTGTAAATAGTAGCAGACGTTTTCTAAATAGTTTTTACTCTTCAGTGAATCCCATAGGAGGACGATTAATATATGACTTTGCTTTGTCCTATACTACAATAACTGTATTAGTAGATATTATATCTAGAGGGCTATGACCCCGTTGCCAACTCTTGCCCAGAAACAAAAATATTTAAAAACATGATGAATTTATTAATACTCTGATAAGCAGTATCAATAGTACGCAATTATCTAATTGTCATATATGTTTAATAATTTTTAAACAAATCTTTTTATGCGTTTACAAATTTAAAGAGCCTTTTTGTTGAAAACGGTTGGCTTTAGAAATATTGGCAAGGTATTCCCTTTTTCAGCAGAAAAGTAGGGGGAAAAGATTTTTCCAGCCTAAAGTGAAATACACAGTGTCACCAAAATGTTTTGGCAGTTTAAATGCGTCCTAATGGTTTTTCGTCCTAAAAATGACTTAACCTCATTTTCGTTTTAGTATCTAGTGGTAATGTTTGGCCTATTCTTTAACGGACACCCCGCAGAAGGTGTTACATTATATTCAAATTCTTGAATTAAACATAATTCTAATACCATAAACATATAAATAGTAAGTGTAACTTTACTTGTTGCAAAGATAGCCCATGAACTTATGAAAAGTAAATAAACAAAGCTAAATTTGTAAACCATATAAAAACTTATCTTAGTCAAAAAGCTTATCTGACCTAGATCACCTGATAATAATTCTCTAGATTTCCGCGGGTACATACATAAATATAAAAGTCTAACGCACGCACAAGATTCACGTCTCAAAAGGCAATTATTGCCTACCTGCCTAACAACAAAGAGGAAACAAAAAGGAAATAAGAATTATAATTATCCATAAACATTCGAGAATAAGCCTGCAATCAGCAAGGAGAGGACATTTTAAAATTATTAGTAATTAAACGTTTGTGAAATCAGATAAGTTTTTTATTTGGTTTAAATATAATTCCCTCTTCATAATTTTGTGAGAATTTCGGAACTTGTAAGGATGAACTTACGATTTTTGCACCTTTTAGTCTAAGAATTAAGTTTATAATCCAAGAATTTAAACATAACAATACAGAACACTTTGCATTTAATTTACTTGTGAAATTTATCAGTTGGGTATTGCATTGTTATCTTTATGTCATAAGGCTGCATGTATTTATATTAACTAAAGTGTTATGCTTCCTATTTAATAGTTATGTTTTGTCTATTTTAAATTAATGTAAACAATTATATTTTGTTATGATAAAGTTATCAAAACTAAAAAATAATATAGTTTATAATATATTTGTGCTGTTATAATGAATTGATGTCTCAAAGACAGTGAACATCAAGAAAGAAAATGACTGATTAAACATTAAAAAACGAGCACATTCTACAATTTTCTGGGCAAGAATTCGAAACGGGGTCATAGCCCTCTAGATATAATATCTACTAATATAGTTATTGTAGAATAGGACAAAGCAAAGTCATATACATTTATTAATCGTCCTTTTGAGGGATCTACTTCAGTGTAAAAACTATTTAGAAAACTTCTGCTACTATTTACAGATTCCTTTAAATTAGTAAAATAACCGAAGTAGATAATTTTGAACCAAATTCAACAAACACATTTAAATTTCTGTATAAATAAAAGTACATATATTTAGTACTAAAATATTGCGAATGTTAAGAACATTTTGAATAACAATATTAACCTACACACCGTAACAAGTTTTAAGTCGGTAATTCTCTGGCTGGTAGCTAAATGATGAAGTTGTCTTTATGTATAAGACCTGATTTCTTTGGCCTTAGTTGAAACATATCTTTAGCTTTTTATATATTTAAGTTGTTTTGTACGTTTTAAGTCAATGTTTATGTTATTTGCTGTGCTACGAATTTTATTTAACTTCAGCCCAAATGTTTCAAAACGATCTCGAAATAACGTGAAACAGCTGAAAGGGAAATCTAATTTAACGGATAATTCAAACCGCCTATCTGTTCCATTAATTAATAAAATAAATTACTTTGAAATAATTTACTCTGCCTCTGATTGACAACAATATTTTACCAGTTCCTGCATAATACGTATTCGTTTGCAAACCTAAAATTTTGACTGGTAAATACATATATGCTACTCTTCAGAGTGACGTACCATAATCAGTTACCATTCCAAATTGTTTCCATTTGAAAATAGCATGATTTTCTAGATTTGACATAACTGGTTAGCAATTTGTTTATAAGCAACCTATGGAATCATAAATAAATGAAATAAACAAATAAAATGTTCACTAATATGTTGTTCTTAAATGCGCAGTTCCAAATTGAATGGTAGTTTTTAATACACCATGAACACATACACAAATATCGAGTCATAATCTTCTTTGTACTTTTTTATTTGTAACTGCATGTTAAGAAAACACGTTAGTGTGAATTTTATTTGTTTATTTAGTTTATTTATGATTCCTTATTTTATATGCTTTTTAGGAAAAACGGAAATAAAAAACTTTAACGTCAATTTTACAAAGAGCAATGATTATATTTTCATAAAATTTGGTTCGTTGATAAGATACAAAATTCAGTGGCACATTCAGGTTTAAGAAAGTTGCTAACCAATTTTTGTCAAATTTAACATGGGAAAAATAAATAAAATGTAGGCTTTGATATTAATTGAAAATAATTTCCTATGTTTTTTGTTATGTTGCAAAATAGGAATGTTTTAGGTGACAACTTTGTTGAGATTAGGATTTTGGGATATTTGGGACGACATTATTAAGTATTTTTTAATGTATACTGTTAAAATTCGCTAAATATAAATATTATTTTCATAAACTTTGTTTTTGTTCAAGTAGTCTGATTTTTATAAATTATAATGTTTGGCAGATCCACCTCTAGTTTTAGCAGTTTTTCTCAAAACGAAGTGAATTTTGATAAGAGAACATTTTTTATGAAAAATTAAAACGTACATGAAAAAATTACCTAAGGACTCCAAAAAGCCTAACCTCAAAATGGCTACGACAACAAATATCATTGGTCTGGAGCATAATAGACGTTCTACAACTTACTTAAAAAACAAGTCAAGCCAAGTTAGGTCCTCTCAAAAGATATACCTACTAAACTTCAATTCCATTATTTACAAAATTAATTAAAAAAATTTAAACTGTAACACCCAGTATATTGAAAACAAAAGACGATAGACCCATAGTTCATAGGAAAAGGTCTAAGTTATTATAATGTCCTATTACTCCTAGGATTTATGACATTGTTCTCGGAAACATCCTGTATTTCAATGTATACAATCAAAAATATAACATTTTCAAGACGTTTCGTTTTACATTTGTCTGATCCTAATTTCTAAAACTCAAGAATTAATAGGAAAAATTAACGTTAAAAGACATATAGGTACTTTTACTTATTTTTTCTTGTATTGCTTTTAACTTTTTCTGTAGTTGTTGTTTACTATTTTCAAGTCTTACTTCTGATTTCAGTATGTATTAAATGTATTCATTTGTTTAACATATTCTGATTTTTTTAAATTTTTACTCGTATATGATTTAATATCATAATAGAAAACTGAGGTTGAAAATAAAATAAATACTCAGAAAATTGTACATTCAAATTCATTAATAGTACATTAAAAATCATTTACAAGAAGCAATTAGTATTTTAAGATAAGTTACTTAACAACTTTTATAGATTAGGTACTTAAATTGTTTTCCATGTCATTAATATATTATCAAAAATTTTCCAAGAAGTAGTTAATCAGAACCTGTTAAAGTCGACTATACAGGGTGATTCACAAATGGTGACCAAAAATGAAACCTCGTATTCTTTGTCATATAAAGTTTTTATAAACTTTTAAAAATATTTTAAATTTTTTAAAATAATTTAAAAACTAGTTAGTGAAATAATTTGAAATTGGACACATGTATTTATGTATATATTGTCCAACATCTGAGGTCTTTTTCTAAAATTTAGATGCTCCAGTGGAGGAGATTTAGGGTATGTGAGGTATATTTTTCTAAATAAAATAGTACGCCACTGCTTTACGGTGACAATCGTGACATTCTCAGATTCGTCTTTCAATTTTCTACAAATTACTACACTTTTATGTTTTTCGAAAAAAACCTGATTTTCGAGTAGAACTTAACAAACGAACTGAAAACTCCGGACCTCAACCTACTGGATTTCTTTTTGTGGGGTGCTGTTAAACAGCTAATATACAGTGAACAAATTAATACACCTGGACAGTTAGAAGAAAGAATAAATAATGCTTTTCATCATATTCGAGAACAATAAATTTCGAACAAATTACATTTTCGTTACTAAAAGATATCGCGCCTGAGATTGTGGAAATGGAGGTAATTTTGAGAATTTACTCAAATAAAATCATTAAAATGATGACTAATGTTATTATTTTCTTGATTCGATTAAATAATAATAAATGTCATTTAATTAAAAGTGTTTTCAATCCGCTTTTTAAGTTTTACTCGAAAATCGTGCTTTTTTTGGTAAACAGAGAGTAGTAATTTGTAGAAAATTGAAAGACGAATCCGAAAATGATTGTCAAATAAATTGTTGTAAAGCAATGGCGTGCTATTTTATTTAGAAAAATATGACACCTATACCCTGTATCTCCGCCACTGAAGCTTCTAAATTTTAGAAAACGGCCTAAGATTTTGGACAATGTTTACATAAATACATGTGCTCAATTTCAAATTATTTTAAGCTACTTATTTTATGAATGATATTTATTATGTTTAAAGCAGATTTGACTCTGTTGTTGAAGCATAACATAATAAATAAAGAATATAATAATAAAGTACATATGCAGGTGTGCCAGATCACATTTTAATATGTTCATATTTAATCTTGAAATTGTATTGAAAACGTAAATACTTAATTCAGAAACCGGTAACTTGAAATAATTTTTAAGAGAAGCTCGAAGATCATTCGAGTAAAAATATACATTTTTCTTAAATAATACAACATCAAAGGCATTTAGAAAGTGTTCGGCCTGCCTTGTGTACTTACATTCATTTCGAGTACTTCTTCTGTACCTCCAGACACTGCCAGTAACTGCCTGGGCAGTCACGGCGACGACAAAGAGCAACGCCAAGAGCTTCATTTCACTATACAGTTGGCATTGAACGCAAATCTTGCACTAACACCGGTTATTGGGCGGTCTTCGCTTTTATAATGTTTGTATGCTGTATAAACATGAAGGATCGTGTGCAGCTTGAACAATAATAACATTACCAGTATGGTTACTCCCCGTGGATCTTTTATGATTTCTTGAACCTTCCTATGGTTCAAGGCGATGATTATTTGAAGAAAAAGCTGGTAAACGAAGTTACGATAATTGTACATAATTTTCGACTAACTTTATTAAAAGCTGTTTTTTCATTTTTCCATTTGTCCAGTTATATTTAACTGTGTTTTAATAAAACACATAATTATTTAAGAGAAAGAGAGAGAGTGGCCTAATTTGAACTGATAACACATCCCTAGTTTGACATTTTCTGAATAGAACAATTGAAAACCGAGATTGTAACCTATTACCTATACAATTTCTCATAAACTTAAACCAAGAAAACATAATGTGTTCCATTATTTCTAATCTATTTTACGAAACGAAGAACAAAAAAAAGTTTTTTTTTAATCCAGTTCTAGATAAATTAATTACCTATTGTTTATACTTCTTTATGAAATAAAAGAAATCTATATTAGCAGGGAATTTGTCCAAATTTACACACCATGGCAGGAATATAGGCTCGAAAATATGTTAAAATATAACAATTGTAAAATAGAAGATTAATAGTAGTTGGTTTATTTCGGTTTTTTACTTATGTCCATCATAGAATATTCACCAGCATAATTTAGGCAACTAGTTTCTTAAAATATATCTTCTTAAAGTTTGGAAGAAATACTAGTATCTGACCAATATAATTTCCCAAAAACATAAAATATTATAGAAATTTTAAACAAGATTCTTATGAATGTATTATTTATAGACCAAAAATCTGGAGAGTAATCCAATTTTACTATTTTCCCCTACATGTATATTTGTAGAAGTATTTCAAAAGTCGTCAGTCGTTATTTTTTCATTTAGAAAGCGAAATTTGAGTTTAAGATTTGTCTGTACAGGTCAACTCCAAGTAAAATATAATAAATTAAGAGAGTTACTGTTCATAAAAAATGGTAACATAAATTCCTTTGACACTTTTTTCGAAAACTCGATATCAAGGGAATTGCATAAGCTCAAAATTAATATTTTGCCATGACTTTTTCAGTTAAATGATTTGTTTCAAATTCTGTACACTTATTATTGGTATCAAAGTACATTTGTGAATGAAAAATGGACAAAATCCTAAAGCTCTCATTGGTTTAAATTGCCCTTACTAATAAGAGAATTGGTCAGAACTTTTTGTTATTGGTTTTTCAAAAAATAAGTGGGTTAATATCAAGGATCATAAAAAAACTTTCGAAAAGGTCTTCTTGTTCCATATCAATAATATTAATCTTTTAAAAGGAAAAGCTTATTTAGTACTTTGTGATAGGATAGTTATAAAATAATAACTTTGTTGTACAATTGCATAAAACATAAATTTTATCTGTTTTTAAGTGCGCCTTGGAGCATAACATGTATTTTTTTCAAGAACGGTTAGTTGGACTTGGAACAAACAGACCTTTCGTGAGAATTTTTGATAATCTTTAAATTAAGTGACTTATTTTTTAAAGATCCCCAAACAAAAAAAGTTCTGAGAAATTTTCTGATCAATAAAAATCATTTAAGCCCTTTAAGGCAACAATAATTTAAGTTTTTTTTAAAAAAATGTAGATTGTTACCAATAGTATCTATACGAAATTTAAATAAAATTTAATCGAAACAAAAAAAAAATACAAAAATATCTAGATACTATTTACTTATTATTATTAAAATTATGTAACCATTAGCCACCATTGTGCTGTTTTTGTGTTTCCTAATATATGTACTAAATATATTTCAGAAAAAAAAATCACGTCAAACTAGATTTAACAAAATTACAATGAATTATTATTAAAATAATGCAGTTAATAACAACTTTTGACGCTTTCTTAAATACAAATGATATTTATATAAAATCACTTATACTCTCTGAAATTGGGATGAATCTGAAACACAAATAAAGCTTTCTGAAAATAAATTTACCGATAGGTATGAAATGTAAATAACGCTTTATGAAATTAAATTGGCCATTTCTGAAATTTATCTGAAAAAAAAGGTGGAAGTACATATATTTGGAGAAACCATATGTTCAGTGCTTCAATATTATTGCAGGTTATAAAATTTATAACACTCAGACAATTTTACTTTTGAATAAATTATATATCCTTGTTTTAATTTTTTGTTGTATTAGATTTGTATAGTTAATTTAATTTCTCTTGTAACAGTTTTAGCTTCCAAGAAAACAATAACAGTTTCGACTTTCATCTTTTATCAAAAAGTTTCTCTCTGAATTTAGATTTTGTTAACAAGGTCGACGGCTTCTCTGCTTTTTGAAAGGAGCTTACACATCAGGAATTAAAATAATTGACTAAAATGTTCTCCCACCAAGTGTTCTCTTTGTCAGTGTGCTGCTGTCCTTTTTATCTAATATTTCCTGTTTGAAATATTTTGCGTCTGTTAATTTGTCCCGCTAGTAATCAGGAGATCTGGTAAACATGTCATGTAAATTCGTGAGAAATCTGCTTCAATATAGGCTAATTATTATTTGTATACAGCTAGGTCACTTAATAAACTTTCAAAGTAATTTGAAAACAAGAGCTAATACAAAATCTCTTAATTTGATTGGTAAACTTCGACAAGGTGTTCCTTTGAAACAGTTTTTCAATGAAGAAAGAAATAAAAAGTAGGTTCCAGGGAATCTATTTTGTGAAAACAAGAGCTAATACAAAATCTCTTAATTTGATTGGTAAACTTCGACAAGGTGTTCCGTTGAAACAGTTTTTCAGTGAGGAAAGAAAGAAAAAGTAGGTTCCAGGGAATCTATTTTGTGAATCTCTGTGCATTCGATTATCAGTAGCCAAATAAAACTTGTTTATTCCACATTTAGAATGCCTGTCATTTTATACACATATTTCTGAAGATATTTATCTCATACTTGTATTTTGCCATGTGAGAGAAAAGAAAAGATCACTGAATCACTAATAAACCCTTGTACTCAAAGGATCATTTTTATGAAAATAGGTATGTCTAATAATTTATTACATTACAGACAAAAGTACTTATTTACAGTGGAAACTTTACAAACATCAACAAATTTAATAGCAGTCTAGTCAAATACGTGTAAAAATAGTTAATACTCATTTTAGTCACGATTCTGTGAAACATAGTCATTTATGTACATTACTACACTAAATTAAATAAAATATTTGAACATTATTACTATTAATCCATATACAGATTTAAATTATTTTGTTATGAATATTTTTTTATTAAAAAAAGTTAAATACGACTTATAAGAAGTATTTTAATTGTTCAAAAAAGATATAATGAAAACTTGATTACAATATATCAGCAGATTTTCAAAATAATCACGTCTTTATTGTATATATATTCTGAGGTCAATAATAATTATAATAACCACAGAAAAATTGAGTAATTTTCAGAATCATGAATGTGAAATTTATGATAATTTCTTTGTCATCTGAGATATCTTGTTTCTACATTAAAAGTCATACACATACATAAATGACAGTTATTGGCAAAATAATAACCTGTATTCTCGTAAAATGTAAATTCAAATTTGATAAACTAAAACGTAAATCAACTTGTTTCATTTTTTTAATAGAATAATTATAAACTTATTTATTCAATTCTAAATAAATGTTTTTAATTGTATCTTGTGTCAAGAAGGGGTTCCTAGATATCTGAAATCTGTTTCCAAATACAGCAGAATCAGCATTTTCCAAAAATGTCATTATCGAACACTATCCTTTGTTGTATCCTTTTCTATAATATTTCTAATTGGGAAAATCTTACTGTCCGCTAATGTAATTTTCACTAACAAAATTTGACAAACACATTTTACACATACCACAAAATAGAAAAACAAAACAAGAATAAGTTAAAGTTAAAAAAATAATTTAAAAGAAAGAAAACTAACAAAATACATTTCCAATATAGACACTTTCCATCTCCACACACTTCCTAAGTCTACGAATGTTATTTGTTTGTACACGAAAAAGCATTTCTGGGGTATGTCTAATTTTATCCCAATGGAAATTAATTCTTTGTAGCAATTCATCCCTTGTCTGTACTGGAGTTGCGTACACTAAATTTTTCAGGGAAGAATTCCATCGGTTTAAAGTCTGGAGAAGTAGTGGCCATGAAATTTATTATTAAACACATTGGATAAATAATTTCGTAGGTACATCATCATTGAAATGGGGAGAAGTCCCATGGTGCATGAACCTAAGGTTCCTTCGGTTGTCTAATGGAACATCGTCTAATAGTGACTGCAAATTATTTTACAGAAACTTCAAATATCGATGTCCATTTAGACGTTCCTCAAAAACGTATGGAATTATTAAATTATTACCCAAGAAATGCTTTTTCGTGCATGTACAAACAAATAACATTCGTAGACTTAGGAAGTGTGTGAATGTGGGAGGTCCTCATATTGAAAATGTATTTAGTTTTCTTTCTTTCAAATTATTTTTTTTAACTTAACTGATTCTTGTTTTGTTTTTCTATTAGGTATGTGTTATGTGTAAAGTGTGTGTGACAAATGTTGTTAGTGGAAATTACGTTAGCAGACAGTAAGATTTTCTAGGCACTTAATTTAAAAATATGTGCGGTTCTACCACAGTAATTATGTCCAATTGAAAATTAAAAACAAAAAATAGTGGAGACGCCGCTGGATGTGCACTGTGACATAAAATCATAAATATTTCCTAAACTGTTTACCGAGTTGAACCAAGAGGGTATTATCGTTGGCAAATTATTCACGGAACTTATTTTTGATATAGGCAGATTGCGATCGTCATCTATGCAAAAATTCTGGGTTGTTAACCATTGGGCATAGTCCGTTCCTGGCGTTCTGAGCATCATGAAGTTTCACTTATAACTTCAAACATAAGCTGTACGCATGTGTTATCGATCACCAAATTTACATCATGCTGAAGTTAATAGTTTAGAGATTGTAAATAAAAATAAGATTTTAATTTTTCACCTTTGAGGCACCGTAACTTGTTAACGAATGCCCGTATGAAAAAAAATTATATGAAGAACTGATATTATTTTGACCTCATCTATTTGTACTCGAGTTTTTTGTATCAAGTACTGGGACACCCTGTATATCATTGATTGAAAAATACTGAATTTTAATCATATTGAGACAAAAGAAACAGCTAGTTGACTTTAGTCATTTATTTACTAATAATTCCAAGTATTGTTATATTTTTTTATTTTACCGCAGTATCCGCAGATGTTCACTGAATAACAATACAATTTAATAATTTGTCATTTGTTTACATAATTCATTTATATGTGGTTATTAAGTAACATTCCATTGTATGTCCTGTATTAACAGAAAATGCTTATACCTAATAATACAAAATTATTTTATCGAAACGTGTATCAATATCTTTTGATTCAAAAAATTTGTTTACACGAAAATCCCGAATTTCATTAAAGTAAGTATTTCACTTAGAAACTGTGACCTCCATGAACTCTAACTAATATTAATGCAATCTGTCTTGACCCCGAATATATATTATTATCAAAATCATAAGATTTTCCTATAGTATGCAATCCGAAAAACCCGCGATTATCGCGGTTCATATGTTTTAATTTCAGTTTAGTGAATTAAAAATAACAACAGATAATAACTGATAAAACAGCATAACAAATCTACATTTCTGGAGCTCACCTCATCAACATAGTAAATTATGCAAAGTAGGCTACATACACAGGAAGATATACCGTGTTAATCGACATCAGACGTTAATATTACCAAAAACATGTTTACTTAAGACAGTAAATAAGAAACAGTCAGATATTTGTTTTTGTTACATTGGCTTAGATAAAAATAAAACAATCTCTGTTATTTTGTATTTAGTATTATGTTTATCATAATCCAATGCAATTAACTATTTTCAGATTAAAATGAGAGGAATTCAAGATTTCGTAACCGTTGTCATAACTTAAAAGTCTAAATACACAGTAAATCAAAAGCATGGAACAAGTTTATTACCTACGTGTTTACCTAATTAATATTTTTTTGAGAATGCTAGAAATAAGTATCCCAAAAAATAAAATTAATTATGATAACTTCAGCATAAAGTAATATAGTAATATATGACATTATTAACCTTTAAAATATTGATAAATATTTATTAAATCTTAATAAACAATAAATATTTATTCGTTCCAGGAACAATATTCTTTTTTTGTTGATAATATTATGTGGATTTCGAAATAATTAATTGTATAAATACATTTCTTATCAAATTATCGCCTAGTTACTATAAACTGACACATAGTACTAAAATAGTATAATGGTACCTACACAATAAAATTTTCAAATTAAATAACTAGAAAGGTAGCATGAAATTGCATAGGTATTTCCCAAGACATACTTTATGAATAATTGTCAGTTTGTATTATTAATAAGGACGTACAATATTTTTGGTGCAACAAATAAAAGTATCGGAAAAGATTACTACTTTTGCACAAAAATCCGCATACGTTCGTCTGTGGTGATTATAAAATATTATTTGCTTAGAACCACAAAATATCTTAATACAGTCCTGTAACTTTCTTACTTACTGGAATTAAATTAAAGAAAAATGAAAATACCCGCACATGTCTCTTTTGTATTGAGATTAAAAGCACCCTCACGACTTCAGTAGGTACTATTGTAATAGTTTTATTTAGGATAAGTATATTTCATTCTCGACGATGTATATTTTAAGCAAAGAATTAGTAATAATAACGTTAAAAAGGTTAGAAGCTAATTTGAATTGTCGAAGATAATGTTGTTATTTTTAGTTAATAAAAAAAAATCTTGTTTGCTAATTCCCTCGGATAGGTTAAACTACGTTGATTCACTCCGGTAGGTTAATTATAATATAACTTCCTATTTACCTTCTGGTAGCCATATTGGTTATCACTATGTCGAACTTGTTGATTTATTCAATAAACATCGACATGTTTTCACTTGATATCTTTTTGAATCAGTAAATAAAAGTTCCTAAAATTATCGCGGTTTAAGGCGCCATTTTGAATTGGCCATTTTAATCAAATTCAAATTTTCATTAAATTTTATCTTCCTATCCATCAGCAAATGTAATTCAGCAATGAAGAGTGGTAATTTACTACAGACATGGTAAAATTTGCCATTTTGGGAATTTTTATGGATATTTTTCATTTTATACGCCATATAAAAAATAATCAATGGTATCCTTAACAGTTACTTTATACAGGGTGTCTCAGTTCGAGTGAATCAAACTTTAACCACAAATAGAATTCAATAAATAATTCAGAATTGCCTTATAAAGCAAGGGTCTAAGTCTCACCGTTTTCACTGCACAGGGCCGTACTGGTCTTGTGGAAAATCGGCATACTGCATCGTTTTACCGAAAATCTCAGTTGAATCTTCTTATAAGAAATTTAGTTTCTAAGAATAGGAAATAAATTTTAAATTATTATTATAATGTCACGTATTATCTTAAAATTCAAAACATAATATTAAATGTCTCTACATCGGCAAAACGACTAGTAAATTTTTTTAACCCAAATACTGTTAATAATTACATTTATTTAAAATTCGACCATGTTATTTCAGCTTACAGCCGACCTATTCAGCCGCTATTTTGTTTTTTTTTCAAAAACAGCAAATGACATTCAAAAGTATATATATTTTAATTTAATAAATTTTGGGCAGGGGTGGCCCGGATTATAAAACATCAATGATTATATATATTTTTATTGTTTGTAATGAAGTCTCTTTTTAAACTAATTTCATGTTAATGTCTTGAAAAAGGAAATAAACATTTCCGAAAGTTCGACGAACAAACAGTGTTTATATTTATTTCTGGCCATTTTTAAAATTATTCAGACTGCAACCCTAAAAGACTTATTCAATGCTTAGTCAACTAGTCAGTCGTGACTACCCTTTTGCTTAAGAACGAAGAGTAAAACAAGTAATGTTAGTTGCATAGCTTTCGACTACAATATTTCTTTATTTGGAGATTATAAGAAATCATCAATTCATAATTAATTATGAAAAATATCCTAAGGACAATTCCCGTCTAGACTGGTATATAAATTATTTGGATTCCTAGTTCTTGAAATTCAAATTCAAATAAGCTCTGCATAGAATTATACGCGACATCTTCTGTATCTTTCACTAAATAGCACATACAGGCTCCTACTATTGATTTAGAATGTATAAAATACTAAATTTAATTATTGCACGATATTATGAAAAATAGTTCTATATCTTAATTACCATTGAATTTTCAATATTGCCTTAGAAATTTATATACAAATCTGTTTGAATATAATGAGAGACAATAGAAATATACATTTATTAAAATTTATATGTCACCGATACAAACTCCATCAACTTCCATACAAATATGTATACTACAACGCTGTTTATTGGTGAGGTACGTAAGCATCTCAGGATAACTGATCGTGAGCAGTCACAACTCTGATTTCAAATGATAAACCAAGCTATTATGATTTACGATTACCTGTAGGTGCAGCTTTGACCTCGCTTTTTGCATTTTATCAGACATATTATTTTCGTTTATCTGTAAATTTTCTTTTTAAACTTACGTGTACACAAAAATTCTTAACATTTTGGATTGCGTAATCCTAGTAAATAATTTGATTGAAATATTAACACTTATACTTATAGGTACTATAAACAAAAGTGAAATTGGAAACTTGGAAAATATTTAGACTTATTTTCAAGTTCGGTCGAAGTTCTTCTCGTTTTCGATATTGAAATTAGAAAAATATATCACCATTTCTGAAAATGTTTGACGTAGTAAACTGGTGAAAATTTGGGCCACTGATCTAGACCACCCCGTGGTATGCTAATTTATTTATAATTCATCTAAAACAAAAAATTATTTAACCAATAAAAAAATGCAAAAGTAAGGTCATAGACGCATCTACGGGTAAATGATCGTAAATCAGAATCTTAATTAACCAAATTGTAAACCCAGTGCATTTCATTACGCCAGCCCGAGATGCTTCAGACCTCACCGATGATTATAATTTAAGACTAGTATTTCTACAGACTGCCACTGGATCTACATCGGTGAGATATAATTATTAAATAAATTGTATTTGTAATGGTATGTCATTTTATACATTTGTTTAAATTAAACTATTTTACGAAAGAAAAAAGGGCGTATCTAATGCAATTATTATTTCAAAATTTTAAAACCTAGATATTAATTAACAAATAATGCATTCAAAGGTACTTGGTAGATGCCTGCATGAACTAGTTAAATATAAATCCAACAGAGGTCGGGGAATGCTTTAAATTGGAAATTGACATGACTATTGACATATTGGCTTGTCAAATATGACAGATGTTTAACAGTTTAAATTGTTATCTATTCTTGTAAAATTGTGAATTAAAAAATTATATGTTTTGAATTGCTTAATAAACTTTATAGTTATGGCAGTGATTCAATCAAGTATTTTTATATGTGAAGTAGTTTAAATGTCTGTTCAATAGAGGTCGGTGGAGGTCTTACCGCAAAATGAGTTGCTAGATCAATAATTGGAGATGCCCAAGGGCAATACTCCTCCAGGATGCAAAGTAGCAAAATGAAATCCTAGCTTCTTATTAAAACAGAAAGTTACTATTTCCAATTTTTTTATGCTAAATGTACAATTACATTTTTTTACTTATTAATCCCAACACATACAGTCCTGAAAATGTCGTAATAAAAACGACGTAACGTCGACAAAGTGCAATAGTAGTTTTAGTATTTTTATTAATACTCTTCCTGACCTAGCTAATCCAAATCAAAAGGGAAAAAGTACTAATTATATATGTACCTATTTAAAATTTGAAATATAAGTTACCGATCATGTCCTTTATGGAGACCATATAAATATTAAACACTATTAAAAAATTGGGTACAAAATAAATGGGAGTTCGAATAAGGTACAGTGAGAAAACATTATGTCCTTTAATTTAATAAAGTAGTGTTTATCCACAATTAAATTTGTAGTTCATCGATTAATTGCTTTAATACTTAACATTGTCGTATTTGTCGTTTCATGTAACAAAATTATTGCTTTAGTTAATGAACTATCTTGTTGAATTTTTACAGCCTAACCAATATTTTTCATTTGATAAGTTCCACGTTATACTAATGTTTCTTAAAACACTGCAAATATTATTTGAATAAAATACACAATATTCAATTTAAAAAAATTAACAAAGATGAACATCTTGAATTAACAAATCCGTTTTTAAGGTAGGTACGGTACTTCGAGTTGATTTAAAAAAAATCTTCTAATCTAGTACAAACTGCAATCTGTTTAAAAACATACTACTACCAATTTAATTGAGCAAGAGTTTGTAAAAAAAATCTGGTTTCTAATAATAATATGTCTAATCTGTTCGCACATTTCAAAAATCGTCTTTAACACTTAATCACTCAAATTACAATATCACGAAAACTCAATGAGAACCAATCCAAGAACATATTACCGAGTAGGTAATGCAATTGTAATGGTGTCAACCGCACATCACTATATATCCCCATTATCGAGTAATTAAAAGAAAGTTCGGTTATTTTCTGAACAGACCTCGTATAGTGATTTATAATTTTCCAAGTATTTAAAAATTTTGGATTACAGTTAATAGTTAATCATAATCATACTTCAATACAGTTTTTTGTCCAAAAAAGCAGCACTATGTTTTGGCGTGTGTTAATTTCAAACTGTCAAAAAAATACCTACACCACTGAATAATTCAATAGATAACAAAATGTACAAGTTCCTATTGTGAAATTATATTGTTAAATATATTAAAGTCATCAACAAAAAAACTGAACATTGGTGTTCGGCAAAGACAGCAATACTACTTAGGTAGTAGTGTTGTATAAGTTTCTGTCTCTACTGATGATTGATCGAGTCAGTTACTGTCAGTGTCAGTAGTAAGTAATATTGTAAATATTTCACACATAAACGTTGTAAAACTATATTATACAGGGTGGCCAATTGAAAACGAAACAGAGCTATTTTCAGGAACTGCGTCAAGATTGTAGGAAAACGCTCAGACCCGTCGATTTTAGATTAAAGGAGGACATTCTTTGCTGGTATTTTTGACTCCGCCACTTTCACCCCCAAGCAAGGGTAAACATCACCCCAAAATATTGGGGGTGAAAGTGGCGGAGTCAAAAATAGCAGCAAAGAATGTCCCCCTTTAATCTAAAATCGACGGGTCTGAGCATTTTTCTACAATCTTGACGCAGTTCCTGAAAACGGCTCTGTTTCGTTTTCATTTGGCGACCCTGTATATACAGTCCCCTGCACTGGTTTAATATTTTAATGTTCGTATATTGCAAGTTAGTATTAAAGTCTTAACCCGAAATAAAGTGTATTAGTCCTAGGTGCTAACCCGGGCATTCGAAGAAAATTTTCCGAAATAATTGAAGAAGTAATGTTGGTTGCAAGGTTATTTATTTTATGAATATAAGGAACAGAAGGGGGCCAACATTTGAGTCGTGCGGTACCCCCGAATCGATATTAATGGACTTTGTATCATCGCATTCAATAAATTATGTGCTGATTATTATCTAAGATATAACAAAAATTAAAAGACTTCAAAAAATTGTAACATTCTAAATTTAAACCTAAATTTTGACAACGCAATTTAAAATGTACAATTTCACTATCATTTCCGATATTCTCTTGATCTCTGCTAATAATAATTCTGCTTTCTTTATTGACAATATTGACACTAAAATATGATATATATGAGGCACTAAAATGTACACATGATACCCATCGCAACTCTTAATTCTCATCCCTAAAATTGCTTCCGACTTTTGCGCTTCCTCTTCCCAAAGCAATACAAGCTAGCTAAGGTCATTTATTGAGCTATATTTTCTTCTTCTTCACTATATTGTGATACTAAAGTAACTATGGAAGGTTTTTGTCAACTTTTATCTCTTGGAATGATATAACTAAGAGATTTCAAAAAATTCCTAGGTAAAATAAGGTGGATCTGGATTCGTATCACATGAAAAAAAATATTAAAAGAGAAACTTGTAATGATATATTGTAATTATTATTAAAAATATCACTTAAAAAAATCGATATTGCAAAAAAACAAATTATTTCGAACAACTGTTCCAGATTTGTATAAATATAGCGAGTAATATGCGTGTACTTTGCTCTAAATAATGAATTAGATGCTGAGAACTCTTTGTTCCACTTTCTACCTTATAATTGCAGCAGTAAATGTTTTAACAGTATCGACATTACTTACGTGTTCTTACCGTGCTTGTTATACCGCCACTGAGGGGTTTTAAACGATTTGTTGTTACGACTTTACATTGGAAACAGCTCTCTGAAATGGGGAATGACGATGAGCTGTTTAGGATCGGTTTCGGCATTTGGCTTAGTTTATGTTTTGGTATGTGCGTCTGGTTCCTCATCAGTTTCATCAGAGGTAGGAGAGTTTTCAACACCAATTTACATGCGATAGAGGACGGACTGAGGAGGATGCAAGAGGAAATTGAGGCGAAGCAGAGGGCGAACAGCATCGGTTTTGATGATGATATGAAGGACATTGCGGAGTTCTGCAGGAAGATTAGCAACCAACATTCAGAAGAGGTAATCAATACGTTTCTTTGTCGGCTGACAATATTGTCGTAGACGTTGTAGAACTTTCTCATTCCTAAATTTATTTGGAGCTTTCTGTTGACGCTGTTTATGTAAAGAAATTGTTTGTGGCGTTATAATTAAATTAAGATAAAAAAGAGCATCACACCAAAATAATACTTTTATTCAACGTCAATAATCTGCGTTTTTTTTCCAGAAAATTGGCAATATCTAAACGTTTTTGGTTATGTAGATTCCGAAAATCGAACGTGCCATGAATTGATCTTGCTGGTACATTATACCAAAAATAAGAAAAAGGTATTTGATACAAAAGATAATTGGTACAATATATCCGTAAAGTTTGAAGACGGTTCAAGTTAATTTTCAGAATCTGTAACATCAAGTGCATAAAAATGACAGTTTTCTCAGAAATAGTGCAAATTGTTGACATCGAACAAAAGTACCTTTTTGTACCTTTTAAGATATTCATTACAAAAAATGTCTCATCATTTGCTCCAGTTTGGTACCATTTTTTAGAAATACTCTGTGTATATTTACATATTGGATTTCATTATTATAAACTATATAGAATATATCTCATTTTTTGGATTTAAGCATTGTCTATTTTTGGCATTTATTTTTATAGCGTAGGTTTAGTACATTTTCTTTTATGTAGGTAGTTTCCCCCTTACCACATTTCTTCTAATTTTTTTACTGTTTAATAACAACCTGATTAATAATATTTACAAAGGTAATTTCAGTTTCAGGTTTTCCAAATACTGAAAAGACTTATATTTCTAAAAATATTATCGTCTTATTTAACTTATCTATTTTTAGTTCGTTTAAATCTGCTCTCCATCACATCTATGTACCCACACACATGTACGAATGTTTACATAAGCCTATTGATTGCTTTACTTCCACTTTACCATCCAACTCCCTATTGTTGTCATCAAAGTTCCGTTTCTATAGTTATAAACTACCCAGCCTTTGAATAAACCAGAATCTCCACCACACACACACACCCACAACTCGTTATTCTCCATTTAATCTGTGAAAATGCGTAAACAAAAAGTAGGTGTAGATGTTTGGAAGATGGTGTTTTCCTCTTGTTCTTACTTAGCACTAGCATTTGTTGCTTATATTTTACTAAAACTAGTTCATGCTTGTTTTTGGCTGCCGAATTACCTACAAAAGCAAGAGGAACCTGACGTCCTGGATCACACGGAGGATATAAAGGTGGGTGATGTTCAACCGGAGGAAGAAGACGATAAAAAGAATGTTTAGAATGTTATCAGAGCACTAATTGTATTTATATTTTTAAGAATGTTCCCATTTTTAAATATTGTATTTAAAATTAATAAATATTTTTTGTATGATTTTCGTGTTATTATTTGTCTTATTTTTCACAAAAATCTAGAAAAAAAAGTATTAGCAAATATTTATTTAAATGCTACATATGTTAAACAAAAAAGTATTTTATGTTGTCAGAAAAATAAAAGTGAGACTATTAATTTCATAAAAATATTTTGTTGCTAGAAAAATAAAACAGATACTTTATTAATTTCTTTAACCCTGTATTTAATTAGCACATTCATTCTCATTTTATACCGATATCTAGTAACAACAGTTTTCAATACTATCTTCATTATTATGTAACTGTACTAATCAGTTTTGGTTAGGCAAAAATAGTTAAAATAATTTTTGTCTGAAATAAACAAAGGAAAAATTACATCATGTCACGTCATTTTTAAGCTGGACAGGCTATTTTTATTCTGAAGACAATAAAAAATTGCAATTGCAGTGCGTTTTCTTATATTTTTGCACTCCATCTACAGCTTTATATTTGGAGACAAAAAATGTTAATTAATATGCCTATGTTATATAAACTTATATCTCTTATAGTAAGGAAGATCTGGTTAAAAAGGTGTAGAACAAATCCGTAGTCTAAGACTTCTAAGACAAATTGTTCTATATAATTAGATAAAAATGTACAGGGTGTTACATAAAGAATAAAAGCATGATTATTTTGACAGGCGATGTTTATTTGCTAAATCTGTTAGAAAATTCTAGTGGTACAGGAAAATTTAAGCAACTTTTATATTTTCTATCCTTGAAAGTATCAACTGTAAGTGATAAGTGCCAAACATTTTCCATGAAATTGCAATTTTATTTATTTTTCTTACTTTGTTATAAATTATCTACAATTCGCATTATATTGCTAAGAAATGTTTTATGTTATTTATTTTTGCTTTTACCTTGTTCATTAATCAATACAGGTTTCACGTTCGTCAACCATGCTGATTGAATTATTATAAAAAAATGTAAAACACATAATTAGAAATTTAATAAATCGTGGAGGGCATATTTTCAGAAATTTGAAGAAAACATATGTTAATTTAATCTATTATTATTCCATGGTATTCAATTCATTATTTCCTTTTCGTGACGTCATACGTTATGCTCCGAATTTCTCCCTCCCTCATTTATCAGTTGTTCTCTGAAAGAGGATCTCATTGGAACAGCAAATGGATTAAAAATTATGTCTGGGGAAAAGAAATATAATTATTTATATTAATTTAGCATTTTTGTTTATTTGGAAAATCAAATACTTTCATAATGTAATCTAGCAAATAACGTATTAAGATTGTGAATACTATGCTCTATATATCCACAATATTATGTAAAAAACTTGACCTGGTCCAATCTAACTTTATAGAAATTTATCTACCTATATAAAATTAGCTTAAGTCAAATTTTTTTAATTTTAAATAAGAGATTTAAGAATTAACTCGTAAAAGTGTTATGGACCAAGCGAACAAAAAAGTTAAATATAAATGCTTATATTTCCTTTTACCTGAGATAATATTTAATCTATTCGCTGATTGCAGAAATAAATTTGCGATACTTTAGTAACCTTATTTCAGACAAAAGAGTATAACGTATGACCTCATAAAATGGAAGTAGAAAATAGAATATTAAGATGTAAATACATTAAAAAATATATATTTTTCCATAAAATTTCTAAAAATATATTTAGCAGGAATTATTAGATCTCTAATCACATGGATTTTAAATGATATATGAGTATACAGTAAAAATTGAGGAATATAATTTTTTAATATATTTTATCTCGAAAACTTCTTCGGTACCTTTGAAAACAGAGGGGAAATATTTCGTTGGGTTTTCAGCGTTTTTATAATAAATAATATTACAGGTAAACAACCAGTCTATGCAATTCTTCTTAAATAAAACAATTCTTGGTTTGTAGGTTTCCATGGCAGTTGTCAATTGTTGAACAATTGCCGGACTAGTTGCAACGTCATCGTTCTAGCCTTCTTGATCTTTCGGTAGGCCTACTTACAGCCCTCGGTAGTTATTTACAAAATACCCAAATCATTACAAAAATGTTCCTACCTGCTAGTTTCGAGGACACTGAATACGAATCTGGAGTTGTTTGGTCGATTCTAGTTTTAGAAAAAAAAATTTTTCAAAATTCTAACCTGGACATTTCACAGAACGCTACGCACGACACTGTATACTTTATGTAGCTTTAACATCTATAATGAACATTAAACATTGTTGAAACACATTTTCGCAAATTTCAAATAAAAAAGTATGTAAAAATAAAAATTATTTCTTGCTTCAATCCTGCATTTGCAATTCGTAGTGTCATTGAAGTTCTCCCACCCTCTTCATCTGTGCTCATCATCACTGAAGCAAGAAATAATTTTTATTTATTAAATACATATTTTTTTACTTGAAATTGGCGAAAATGTGTTTCTGAAAGCTGTATAAGTATACAGTGTCGTGCGCAGTATTCCACGAAATGTCCGGGTTAGAATCTTGAAATTTTTTTTCTCGAAAACTAGGATCGATTGCACAAAAATAACTCCACTCGTGTTCAACACCCTCGAAAATAGGGGCGTAGGAAAATTTTTGTGACGATTTGGGCATTTTGTGCTATAGTAAATAATTACCTAACTTTCTTCTTTAGAAGACACTTTGAAACTCAGAGTTTCTCTAGAAGAAAAGAGGGTAATTATTTACTATAGTGACACCCTCACCAATTTTCACAAAACTTTGTCTACCCCCTATTTTAGATGGTGCTGAACCCGAATTTGAAGTTATTTTTGTGCGGTCGAACCTAGTTGTCGAGATAAAAAATTTTCAAAATTCTAACCTGGATATTTCAGATAACACTACGTAGAAGAACGTATATCAGAACATCTGTTATGAACAATTAACACTGTTCACGAAACGCATTTTCGCAAATTTTAAGTAAAAAAAAATGTATTTAGTAAATAAAAATTTTGTAGTTTGAATCCGCCATTTGTAATTTGTGATGACAACATTGAGTTCCCCCAATCTCATTCATCTCTGTTATCCCACATAAAGTTACTATTTAAATACATATTTTTTTTTAGTTCAAATTTGGGAAAATGTGTTTCTCATTGTTTATTACAGATGTTCTGAAAGCTACATAAAATATACATAGTCCAAGAGAATTAAGCTCAAAACCTTCGAGATATGGCTGTTGCTTGACGTAGATTAGATATTAGTAAAAATCGGTCAAAAATAATATATACAATGAAAATATAAGGTTGCGCCAAGAAAAAAAGTTGTGCTATTTGCAGAAAAAATTAAAAACTGCAAAAATACTCANAATTGAAATAGGTCGAAGACCATTAGACCATTAGAGATGAATATAGGGAAGCTTTATAAAATTCCCCTAAAATTACGCGTAGAATCCAAATATGCAAAAACATATAGGATGTTCCATTTATAATAAGCAAATAGGTGGCGACTACCGGTATAACCGGAAGTACTACAACAATGGCACTATTTTATTTAAACTGTTTTTAAATAAAACCTCTAAAACCACCAGGTCCCAAATTTTCAAAATTCAAATCGAAGTAGTCTCCGAAATATTCTAATGGGCCGTCACCGTACGACAGCTTGTAGAAGAAAATTTTGAGAGCGAAAACAGCAACTATGCTGTAAAAGAGCGGAATACTTTAATAATGCAATGATACGTTTTATAAATATCAAATAAATAAATTACATATGAAATAAAAATTTCAAGGTTTTAAACATTATTACGAATTATTAAAACTAATAACCATTAACAATGGACTATGTATATCTATCATCGATATTATTATTTACATGAATATACAGCAACAATGAAATGTATGAAATTTTAAGTAGTCGTAATAGGCTGATAGGGCTTTATAATATTTTAAAGAAATCTTTCGATCTATCGATTAAAAAAAAATTATCAAAATCGGAGCCATAGAATCCGATATATTGAACGCCGAAGCGCGCGCGCTTTTATTGAACGCGCGATTTCAATTTCTATAATTCATCCCCTCCCCTCGGTTTTGCGGCTTGACGATATTCATTGAATTTTCATAAAAAAAGCACACGTGCGATCATATTTATAAAAACACATACGGAAAGTTCTTGAAAAAACCTACCAAATTCAATTTTTGTTGTTGTTACATTAAGCATAGTTTTGTAGCAAGCGCTTGTTGACTTTGACACTCTATATCTCGGAACTTATAGGGCCGATTTGAACGTTCTTTTTTTCAAGTTAAGCGTCTTTCCGAGAACTGTTTTATAGTACTTTGGTATATTTTCCAACCCACAAAATCGCTTCACGAAAGTAATTTATAAAGTCAAAATTTTTCTACTGTACTGTACTTACATCTACATTTATAGTAGAATTGGACAATTTCTTTCCTGTCAGGTTGACGCTTCCAAATTACCTCGATTTTCGTCACTTTCTTACGTTGTTTTGGCTATTTAGCAACAAAAATATGATATGCGCAGGTATCAAAATAATTCTATCTTGTAGCAAATTTTATAACAAACAATTTCTTCAGTAATAGTTTTTTCTGTAAACTGCATATTTAAGAAGTTATGTTGGAAAATGTTAGAAAAAACACGTCATTTTTGAGTATTTTTGCAGTTTTTAATTTTTTCTGCAAATAGCACAACTTTTTTTCTTGGCGCAACCTTATATTTTCATTGTATATATTATTTTCGACCGATTTTTACTAATATCTAANCGCGCGCTTTTTTTTGAACGCGCGATTTCAATTTCTATAATTCATCCCCTCCCCTCGGTTTTGCGGCTTGACGATATTCATTGAATTTTCATAAAAAAAGCACACGTGCGATCATATTTATAAAAACACATACGGAAAGTTCTTGAAAAAACCTACCAAATTCAATTTTTATTGTTGTTACATTATATATAGTTTTGCAGCAAGCGCTTGTTGACTTTGACACTCTATATCTCGGAACTTATAGGACCGATTTGAACGTTCTTTTTTTCAAGTTAAGCCTCTTTCCGAGAACTGTTTTATAGTACTTTGGTATATTTTTCAACCCACAAAATCGCTTCACGAAAGTAATTGTTTATAAAATCAAAATTTTTCTAACTTTTAAATTCGCTCCAAAAATTATTCAAAAAAAGAAAATTGATCTTGTAGCAAATTTTATAACAAACAATTTCACCAGTAATAGTTTTTTCTGTAAACTGCATATTTAAGAAGTTATGTTGGAAAATGTTAGAAAAAACACATTTTTGAGTATTTTTGCAGTTTTTAATTTTTTCTGCAAATAGCACAACTTTTTTTCTTGGCGCAACCTTATATTTTCATTGTATATATTATTTTCGACCGATTTTTACTAATATCCAAGTTACGTCAAGCAACAGCCATGTCAACGTGTAATTCTCCCAGACTAACAGCGTTCTAGGTAGTTATCTGAAGTATCCAGGTTAGAATTTTGAAAAATTTTTTTCTCGAAAACTAGGTTCGACCGCACAAAACAAACTTCAGATTCGCGTTCAGCACCATCGAAAATAAGGGGGTAGACAACATTTTATGAAAATTGGAGAGGGTGCCACTATAGTAAATAATTACCGAAAAGAGCGAATTCTGTTTCAATTTAATGCTGAAACTAAAAAAAAATATTTCTGGTCCAATCGATTGATTGGGCCAGTCCGGTCCTGGCTTCATCCCCTCGATAAGCACCTAGGCATAGTTGACTTGTTCCGCGGGACAGGAGCAACCGCTGCGCTGACGTCACCACCTCGGTCTGTCCGTACAGTGTCGATGGCTGTGCGCGAACTTGTGGCCATGAACGCATGGCATCCTCCGATCCTCTGTGAGCTATTTACAATACAACAGTGTTTTTAACTCAAAGCCTGCCAATGAAAACAAAAATGAATGTGCTTATCAACCCGGTACTGTGAGTGCAAGCTATTGACGGCTAGCTTCGGACCAGGTTCATTTACAAAACTGTGTCTCTGTGTTTGTATGTCGATGTGGTCCGGCGTAGAGAACCCCCTTTCTGGAGGGGTGACATTTTTTCCGAGTCTACCTTGGTTTTACCTGTGAAAGAGGTATATTCGCGCCACTGTTACCCAGTTACGAGTTCTATGGATTATAAATATTGATTTACAAAGTACAGGACATATTCGGGTTTTGTTGTCAAAATCATGTATGCAGTTGCAGTTGGCCGTGCCGTTCATTGACCCCACCTTTGATATCGGGACATTGTAACTGAAATATCCCACCAATATAGACTGTGGCTTAAAATAGGCATTTGTGATTATTTACCGAAAAAATTATAAAAGGAATCAGTGATACAAATAAAGAACCCAGTCTCATGTGAGTACTAACTTTTATAATATTACTGCAAACAGTGGCGCACCCAGAAAATTAGCTTGAGAGGGGGCGAATTCAAATAGAAATTATGGTAGATTTGTACAAAATCAAATTCTTACCTGTGCTTTTATACCCCAGGGAAGATAATGAAATATCTTCTAAAAAAGGCAACATTAAAATAATATAAAGTTTCCTTGTCTCTCCTCTTGGTATGCCAGTGATTGCAAGAACGGTTCTTCAGGAACCACGTCCTCTAGGTACTCCCAGTAGCCTTCAAAGCAGTCGCAGTCTTTATACTTACCTCAATTTTTAAAAAAATATATCGACAACATTAGTTATTGACCTACATATAATAATATTCTACTATTGTTATATTTGATGTATTTAAAGTATTTTGAAGTTAGTAAATAGGTCAAAAACTGTTTGATCTCAACTAACGGTCACTGAAAATTGAGAACATATCCTGAGCGCCGTTTCCAAATCACCTTTATATTTTTAAAACTTTAGAAAATATTTTTCGTGTCAACAAACATCGTGGATTTAAAACGTTTCTGAATGATTTTCATAATATTTTCAGTTGGGCAATGAAAACAATTAAAATTTGTATGCAGTCACAATAAATAAATCAGGTTACTGTATTTTATGAATAGGATTATATGTAAACAAAAATAAGTTTGATGTATCTTATGACGTCTGATTGATCCTCTTAATGCTACAATGAGGTTTTTATAGAACTTTTAATTATTTCGTATCTGCTGCTAGATAATTATAGACGAATACCTATCCAATTTAGCCTCTTCGCTGTTAGAAACTTGAATTTGAAATAATTTTAATTTCAATACCTATTATTAATAACAGACATGTTTTTGATATATCTATTAAGTATTTTTACGACATTTTTCATTTAATCATTGTCAAAATATAAGATTTACTTTATAAATTCAATAATTTTGTTAAATAAGAGATTGAAATTCTAGTAAAATTTTTTTGCACATTTTAATAATTTTTGTGTAGCCAGCTCAATAGTCAGCGTAATGATCAGTATACGAGTACATCCTGGTTGATTTTCGCTTCTCTTTCAATTATTCATACGTCTAATTTATTTATCGATTCTTAGATTCCAGCGTCTGTCTCTACATAAATAATGCATTGTCTGTCCTCAAACATGGCGTACTTGTACAATATTTTTCATAGATCTATAACCAATAAAATCTAATGCAATCGTGTCATCAGCAGACATATACTTTTTATTAGATACGTTTCAGTTACAGGCAGTAATGGAACTGTCAAAAAAATATTCGATGTATCTTACATTTCTCTGTATATTTATTTTCGATTTAAGAGATTATTTGAGAAGTTTAGTACGAGGTTCAGCCTTTTAAAATTTACTTTAGTCCAGTCGAATTGGATTATTAACCCTCAAAAATAAAAAAAAAATACACAGCCCACAAAAAAAAGTGACAGGTCCGAAAGACAAGACCATGGTATCCATATGGTTTTGGGGTCGCTGAATCCGAATCCGGTATCCGTTTAACACGGTTAGCTCTGGTTTAAGGTCAATTCAAGGTCAAATATAGAAAATCAATTGCCAACAAACTAAACCTACGTATCTATACGTTTTTGGGGTCGCTGAATCCGAATCCGGTGTCCTTTAAAATTAACAGAGTTAGGGAGGCTAGAAGTTAAGGGAAGATTTCAGAAATTTAAAAAAATCATAGGCGGAAAAAGAATGAATTTTGTAATTTTTTTTTCGATCTGCTCTAAAAAATGTAACCTTTCTTTTCAGAGAAATAGATATATTTTTTAATTTTTAATAATAAAGTTATAACAATTTCAAATTTGTTTTTCACTCCCCTAAACAGAGATTTTAAACGAAAACCTCGAAACAGGTCAATTTAATTTTGTCAATTTGTTTACATAAATCATATTTTTAATTATTTTTGAGTAAATATAAATTTTTTATAAATAAAAAATATAGTTTTTCTGAAATAAAAATAAGGGTAGCAACCCCCAAACACGGATAGACTTGCGAAATATTTGTTTTTTATCATAAGTAATTTCCATTTTGTTTCATTTCAAAATATTGATTAGAACCTCAGAAATTTTGAAAAAACTGTTTTGGGGGGCGAACTTTGAGGGTGTATTTCACCCCGTAAATATGTTTTTCCGCCGATAAAAAAATACGTGTCTCTTTACATTTTTTTAGAGTAGATTGAAAAAAAATACAAAATTCATTCGTTTTTCTGCTTGTTATATTTTTTAAATTTCTGAAATCTTTTCGTAACTTCTAGCCTCCCTAACTCTCTTTTTTTTTCTAGCTCTTGCCCCTTTTGAGTTATCTTGAAAAACTCCTTTATTTTATCTTTTTTCACCCTTGGCCGGGGGTTGAACAAAAAATTACTGTCACTTATTGTTATAATATACCTCAAACTAACTTTTATAAAAAATTCAGGCAAGTTGACCAAAATTTTGATTTAGTGCAATAAAATTCCTACTAATAATTTTTATACGTGTGTTCAAAATCTAATTCGACTGGAGTGCTTTTGCTCCAAAAAAATCGAGATTTCCACTGATTTTGAGTTATTTTTTGAGGTTAGGGAAAAGTCCTCACGTTATAGAGCATTTCTAATGGCTCCATCGTCTTCAGAGGGTCAAAATATAGGGGAGGGGGTATTGTAATCTGTTAAAAAGTATATGTTATGATCTTTTTGTATGCTTGTGTTATTAATGCATCTGAGAGTTAACAGTTGTATTGTATGAAGCCGTAATAATAGATTAATCGCGGAATTACTGATGTTTATAACTTTTTTCCAAGATCTTCCACTTTCTGAAATAAAAATAACTCCATTGAAACACAATTTAGGTACATTTTATGAAGTAAAGCTGACTAATATGACTAAACCGAAATTCACATTACGCTTCCTGAATTAAAATTATCTGGGTAACCTGAAATAATACTGGCGTTTTCTGAAATGCATCCTGAAAAGATGTAGTTTGTTGGTTTGGTCAGGAAAATCCTCGGGAAGATCTAAATTTATTTTAATATGTCACTGCTACCAGATATCTAGTCATTAATTTCGAAACGTATCTTGAAATAAACCTGTGAATAACGAAATGAATAATTAAAACGTTTCAGGAAATGCCTCTAATTTAGATTTGGAAGTTGAATGACTTGCGGTTCGCATAAACTTTAAATTTAGACCGTTGGGAAATCTCATGAGTGAAATCACAGGCTTCCACCGAACCAGCAATGTCTGGATCCAAGTAGGTTACAAATAAACAACACTAAATATACTTACAATTTTATTGTTACTGGTGAAACTTTTATTATAAATAGAGCACAGTTATTATTTCACTACAAAAAGTAACATTAATCATTACTTGAAAGAACGTTTATTTTGTATCGAAGTCAATTTTCGTGTAAATCTTTTATGTGGTTTAGTTTTTTGTTAAACTTTGATGTGTCGTTAATTGATTGGTGGTGTGGATGTGTTTTTGAAAGTAATTTTGAAAAATTTGCACAGCCATTCCTGATGTTACTCCAGCTTCGCGTCCATCTGCAACAAATGAGAGGGTTACTTTTTTAATATAAGTACCCATTAATTCGAACAGGATTTGCATTGATTTGATAATGTATTTCAAACAGCCAAGGTATCCATACCTATAGTTTTGCAATTGCAAACCTAACGAAATTTCAAATTGACTGTCAAAAAAACTTACAAACATGTTTAAATATACTTTAACCCACTTCCCAGTACCATTTCCTTTGATTTATTTTTTGTACGAATAACTAAAATTTTACAAAACCGTAATTTTTAAATGCCCTTGGGCTGGTTTACTTATTTTCTAGTAATAGGCTTCACTTGTAAGGAATGAGTCATGATGACTTTTTACTGAAACTTTTTATTCATTTTCAATTTATTCTTATTTGTAGTCCAACTTCTTATTATTAGAATGTGTATGTTTGGTTTAAACCGGTAAAATTCATGATTAAATTAAATTAAATACAAACATTAGTACCTAATTCAGAATTTGTAGCTTAGGATTTTTTTTCCCGAAAAGATATTGTAACTTTGGTTTGAAATACTGATAAAAAAACAATTTCATTTATCATCGCCATATTCAAATTGTCTAAGACTTATTTAAGTAATATCCCGTGTCAAATTTGAATTGATTTGATCAAAACGTTTGAAAGATAAACTATAACAAAATTTTTCTACCAAATATTTAACACCCTATTTCTTGAAAACAAAGCGTCTTTGGGCATTTATAGTCTTGATATAAATTGTTTCTTGGAGTACTTTATACTTTTAACATTTTTAACGCTTTTCTTTAACACCCAATTGAATGAATAGTATTTTATGCATAAAAATTGTAGATATTAAGTTAAAAAATTGTTATTATTGTATTAACAAGATTTCTTATAGAAGATAACCAAATTTGGCGAATACATTTAACTCCCTCTAAATTGAAAATAATTTGATAGTTTTTCTAAAACTACTTGTTGCCTGGACACGAGAGCTCGAAAGGCTTGAGTGGTTATTGCAGAGTAGCAACAGGTTTGAGAAAAGTTCTGGAGATTTATTTTCTAATTTATCGAACTCTTGTGTTGTATTCGACAGATTATTTTTCTGTTGTCGTTGGATGTGAACTTCAACCAATGTGCATTTTGGTCTGACCAATACCTATAGTTGTGTCAATTTACGTGCCCGTTCTCGAAAATATCCACTACTTGGTCGTGTTATTTTTTGCGAGAAAGTTATTCACATTAGGTAAATGTATCTTTGAGATATGTTGTCAAGATAATCACTATTAGACAAAAGTACGATGCGGTGTTGTTATGGAGCTAGAAACTTTCGAAGGTAACTTGATGGACTATAAACTTAATTGACTAAAATATTCAGAAACACTTTTTCAATATTACTTATATTATTATTTTAATTAAGATTACTTAACTCACTTTAAACAAAATAGAGTATCAAAATTAAACAGCATTAAAATTTTGAACGTGAAAAATATAATTATTCTAAAAGTTGTGTTCCTAAGTGCAACATTGTTTCGTATTGTTGCGTTAAAAGTAATCGCTTCCCCATTTTTTCGTAGGTTATTAATTAAATTCGAATGATGTTCATTGTCACACTCTAAGTAAGGTTTCAATAAATTAGATGAGCTGTGATCCTTAATTTTTGTAATTTCCGGCTCTTTAATACCCGCTTTGGCAAGATGAGGTGCTGCAGTTGTTCGTGCGGAATGATTCGTACTTTAATTTTTTTAGTACCCAATCCTATCTCTCTAGATTCCTTGGCCCATTTCGACATTATTGTTACTCCAATCGGCATATTTTTGTACCATTCTGAGGGATATGGCTTATCCCAAGCAATCAGGGTTTTGGATATTTGGAATTAACAGTTTATTATTAGCATATCTTTCGTTGTTTTTGCAACTATCGGGTTATAACTTCCTTTGGTCTTTAAATTAATGCATTAAACATTGAAAATCCTCTACACCACTCCTTCGTAGTAGAACTTCTTTTGTAAGCTTCTCTTCGTAAGCATTTTATCATTCCTAAGATTTTTCTTTACTTAGAATTGCAGAAGTCTGCTTTCCCTTTTTGGGATTGTTCTTATAGTAATTTACGCTTTGTTTTTAGCGCCTTTAGCAGGTTTAAATTCGATATCTGTAAAGGGGCCGAATCTTCTGTTTCTATCGTTGTACAAATTATTTTGTTTTAATAACGGCTTCTTTATAATCTCCTCCATGCTGTTTTTTTTTAAATTTAAATTCATAGTCCTTTGAAATGTCGGCCAGTATTGTTGTCTTCCAATTTGTAACCTTTTTCCTCGCAAAATGATAGAAGTTATTTCCAATTCGACACCATGGTTATTATAGTATTTTTACATGCATTTTTGCTGATTTTATTATTGATTTCATGCACTGACGATCTACCAAACCATTTTTAGAAATGGCAAAAAGAGTCATTAAATAAATTTAATTAGATTTCCAATTACTCACAATAGTTCGTTTTTTTTATACTTTAACATAATTGTACAAGTAAATACTTTATTGCTAATTTCAAAGTATTTTATTAATTGATATAGGATATTGCAACGTAAATGATGAGATATATCCATTGCTAACGCAAAGCTTGTTAAAAATGCAAAATATTTTTAATAGACGATCAAATGTCAAGTTAATAATAAGTAAACAATATTTACAAAATGCGTTAATAACATGTATCTATTTAAAAGAGGCATGATTTTCGCGGATGATGCCACACTGTGACTAACAATACCTTGTCTCCAGAGTTTTCCAAAAATAGAGATTACAGATTCCTCAACACCTTGTGAATCGACTGGGCAATTACCAAGACGCACAAAACTTTATTCATATCGAAAATATCTGAAAGCATGGTGTTGGGTTTGGCGAAAGTCATCTTCGAGATGCAGATGCACCTGGAGAACATCTTGATGGCTGTCGATTGTTAATCGACTTGAACCAATACTGAACTGATTTTGTGTTCCCATATACACGCGGAATTGTGTCGAAATTGATTACATAAACTCGTGGACTGGCGCCAAACACGCGGTTTTATTTTGATTTTCTATTTAAATATTCAAGGAAGCTACGATGTCTTTATATTAGAGCTTGATCATATCTTTTCTAAAGAAAGTACTCGGAGGATATATTCATTTTTGGAATATGTGATGTGGTAGAAGTTTAATATTTTCAAAATTTATTTCAAAATAAATTTAGAATTTTAAACATAATATATCAGGTGATTGTTCTATAATAACTACATATTTCTTTGTTATCACTGTTTGTTTGTAAATAATTCATGTAAAAATATTCCTATACACAAAAATACATACTTAAATTAATCCCTTAGAAAACAAATTTATTTAAATAATTCTCTTAACAGATGAAGTTTGATGCATGTATAAAGTATTCTCCGTATTTATCCATTCTCCGTTATATTTTGGACCAATGTATATTTTCGGTGGATTCAAAAAGCTTGAGATCTTGAAGAATTTGCATTTACTCCCAAAAATGTTCTTATAACAAATGCAGAAAAGTTTGGCAGAAACTTTCAATTAAAAGACTTATTAAGAATTAATGCCACTTCAAATTGATTTGTCTAATATACACTTGTGATGATATATTTTTCACTTTACTTGATAAGCTTTAAAAAAAAAAATTGTGAATTAGTTTAATACCTTTAGAATAAAGTAAAAGTTCGAGAGCTAACAGTAAAACAATAAACAACAGTAAAATGGTGGTCACTTTTAATCACTAATGGTCCTATCCGCTGTACACCAAGGTCGCCTTGTTTAAATCCCTTCGAAGTGCTTCAATTCCAGTGAAAACAATTCAAGATTCACTAAGAAATATGACTCGCAGAATACTTCTTTGCATGGAACGTAGAGGGGAATAATTTGAACAGTTTATGTCATTTATATTTGTTTGCTTTTTTACTATTATTGTCAATTTTTCGTAATAAAACGTAAAAATGTTTCACTTTTTAAATATCGTGCCATTACAAACAAATAATAAAAACACTTAAGCATTTATTTACAGCAATAAATGATAGTTTGTTACTTTTAAATAGAACTGTGAAGCTGTTCATTTGTTTCTTCATGGCTACTACTATTAAATTAAATACGTAAATAATAAAATTGACGCTTTTTGACTTTTAATGAAATCTCTTCACCCAAGTATTATAAATCGTTGAAGTAGAAATGTAATTGTTCATCTAATGGTGCAAAAATTCAATATGGCTTCCATGTGAAAATCAAAAATTTGATTATGAAAAAGTAAGGATTTTCATTATTCTTTGAATAATAAAAAAGTATATGAAAGCAATAATAAAAACCAAATTTTCAGTTTTTCAGGATATTTCAGGAACGGTGTAACTTATCTCCAATTTCTTTTCAAAATCCGAAATGGCATGGAAATATGTAACTTTCTTGTAATTTAATTAACCCTGTATATCTTCTAGTTCAGGAGATGTTAATGGTATACGCCTTAAAAGTGACCACCCTGTATACTTATATAGCATTGTTAAATTCACGTGTTTCTTAAATAAACACGATGTAGCTACAATACTTGTCTGAACTTTATTGGCTTTATTAACTACATCACAAATAAACAAAAAAAAAAGTCAGCTTTAGTTTTTGATTCACAAATAGACGAACATGCTCCAGTTTTTTATACAGGTGCTTAGTTTCGATGATATTTCAAGATATTAAAAATTGTACTTACTATTATAGACCATTAAAGGTTATAAAAATGGTTCCTTGCTGTATACCGCTAGTATCTACCGTTTTCGAGATAAATAGTGTACAGAATTTCCTTTATTTAAGCACAATTTTTACAAACTTCACACATCTTACAAGTTTGACAGTTCACAACAACAAAAATGTCAACTTAACCTTCAAAAACTTTTTCTCCCGCGCGTCAATATTATCACAAATAATTATATTTCAAGCAACTATTTGCATCAATAAAATAAAATATTATTTATTATTATGGTAAATCATCTGTTTTTGCAACTTGAAATACAACGCATTTTCATTAATCGAACAACCTGTATCTCGAAAACTAAACGTTTTTGGACGCATACAAGATTTTTTTTTTGTTAATTTATGTCGTAAATCCGCCATTACAATGCAAGCATTTTAGTGACGACCTGTATATTAACGGAATTGTAAAATTATGTAACTTATAACGTCAAACTAAAAAGTATATGACATACAAACAACAATTAAAGCGCTCCATAAGTGTTTGAACGTCCTCATGACTTAAAAGATAAATGAATATAGTAAATTATTCTTCCGTAAAAATACACAGGATGTTCCATTGTTCCATTAAAAAATAACAAATTTCACCGACATTTCTCCGAAATTGTAAAGCAACAAAAGTTGTGTAAGAAGCAAACATTTTTTAAATATTTTTTTATAACAGTGATATAAGGGCCAATAGAAACATGTCAAATTCAAGAAATTATCTGTATATTAAAAAACAAATCAAATTAGCCAATATTCGTATCCATCTCTAAATTTAACTCAAAAAAAGACAATGTTATAAAAAAATTTCGATAATAAATAGGTGATTGTAGTTAGGTAGGTCTCTGATTCGGGCTTTGAACAGAATCATTCAATGAAACGATTTTTTTTTGTTACTGGGATTTTTACAGCCATTTTCCGAACATGTAATCGTTTTATACGCTTGACTGACACGGATGTGTTTGTTTAACAAAATTCATTTATTCGTAAATGGTGTCGTCCGAAATTTGTGTCACACTTACGTTTTAATAGATAGTAATATGAATAGGTATATCATAATTTAGGACTAGAATACATCTTTGAATAAGATATTTCGTTATTATAATAGTATTAATCGAAATTGATCAATTTCTATATGCTTAAATAATTAGAGGTTTCATCCTAATAGAATGTCGGGCAATAGACCAAAATATCTTTGTGTATGTATATACAAGATGTTTCTCTTATGTACATATTTGGCTGTTATTTAATATACTATTTTAATTATATGTAGTTTTGAAGTTATTTAAATCTCTGACGTCAATACATTGATTAAACAATACCGAAAAAATTCTATGTTTATTATAAGAACAGCCAGACACACAATACTTTACATAGTTTTGGATAAATGAATAATAAGTGTAATATAAATGAAATATGACATAATGCATCAGTGGACTAGGTTTGTAGAAATATTTTAAAATTTAAACTATTTTGCCTTAGGAAAAAGTCAAATATGTTGGAAAATTGTGTCGTGGGTACAAATACGTAGTTACATTTTTAGGATAACATTTAAAAGATTTAAGTTGTACGTAATATCTTAATTTGCGTACGTCATATTAGTTTACCAGAATGATGATTACGCCCACACGTCAATAAACTTAATAACTATCCATCCCTAAACAAAATTCAATTTTGTACAACCCATCAATTACATGGCACGTGGACGTATCGATTTTATTGGAGCTGTGTTTAAAACTTTGAACTATACGTAGGAACCGTTTGTTGTGTATGTACAGGGTGATTCACTATATTTTTACCCCCTTTAACTTTTTTGTTTTAAGAGTTATAAAAAAATGTGAAACATAAACGTTGCGCGATTTTTTATGAATTTTTCGAAAATTATAGCAGAAAAACAAATGAAGTCCAAACAAAATGGCCGCGGATGTTAACTTTGTCTACTTCTGTGTAACCCATTTTAATTAAATAATAATACAAACTGTCAAACAATAACAATATTATCATGCCATTACCTGTCACTGTCACGGCCTACCATATAACATTGTGCATGAGTAATTAGGCATCCCACGGCCTAATTAGTGAGATTTAGTTAAAATACCTATACGCATTTTGGACCATATCTGTCAAAATATATTATAACTAAATCTGTAAATCCTTACGTAATTGGAAAAAGGCAGAAATGCCTGAAAAAGGTTTAACAATTACAAGATGTCTTATTTTCTTAATAAAAAACCTTCTTTTCGATTTTTAATAGTATCTCGCTTATTGTTAGCGATGGACCCAACAACAACAAACCCTACATGACTATGCTCGACAAGGAACGTTTTATCCAACTATGTAAAAATATACAGGGTGTTCCATTTAACTTAACAAAGTTAACATCCGCGGCCATTTTGTTTGGACTTAATTTGTTTTTCTACTATTATTTTCGAAAAATTCATAAAAACTCGTGCAACTTTTATATTTCACATTTCTTTATAACTTTCAAAACAAAAAAGTTAAAGGGGGTGTCAAAATATAGTGAATCACCCTGTACATTGTTAGGGTGGTTTGCGTATTTTTCACTCCTACTCATATTCCAAAAGTTTATTTTCGTTTAGAAACTTATTGTTTTTTTTGCGTCCTCAAATACCTACTATTATCATTAGATGTACAGAACAAGAGGGTTCGTCTAAATTGTTGTCATTGTCCACAATTTTGCGATCGACAGGATCAACGTCATCAAATCTAAGAAAGCATGCCTTAAAAAGAGGTAAATTATTAATTTGTTAGACCTGAGGACGTCGATCACAACGCCCCCTAGATCCTTACGTATTACAAACGTCAAAATACATGGTCAGGCGTCAGTCCATACCTTGACTTATCTGATGCGTAGCTTATGAAATTATTGATTGTTATTATCAGTAGGTACGGATTTTTAATAATATAATATTTAAATAAGAAACGTAACAAACGTTCAACGTAATTGTAATACTTTTTTTTCTTGAATGAATCTTTAATCTGAATGAACAGTCTTTCAACATTTGTAGCCATATGTTGTTTGCAAATCTTTACTACTTTGTATTATGCGAGACTCAAAATATATCTGCTGTTACACATTTATTTTTAGGCCCTCTTTAGTATATCGTATTTTTAGTTACCTCTCAAATTTATACACACCCAATCTTTAATTTTCTCCTATTTATAGTCTATGGTTGAGATTATCGAAACGTTTAATCTTGAACTTGAAAGTTT